CCTTTGTGGGCTGCGTTAAGTTTATTGATTGGGCCATTTTTTCTTAAAATGTTTTGTCTACTTCAATCTCTATTTCCTCCTTCTGGGACTTCAATTACTTTGTTTGATTTTTAATATTATCTTAAATATTGCTGATGCCCTGTTAAATTTATCCCCCAAATATTTTTTTCTTTCTGTTCTTCAGATTGGATCATTTCAATGGACCTGTCTCCCAATTTATTGAGTCTTTCTTTTGACATCTCTAGTCTGCTATTATGTCCATTCACTTAATTTTTATTTCAGATATTATATTTATGTTTTACTTCTCAAATTTCTTGTTTCTTCTTTTCCTAGTTTTTTTAATGCTGCTATTTTCTAGCTGTTTATTCATCACATGCACATTTTCTTTGAGTATAGTTATGTGACTGCATTAAATCTTTGTCTGATAATTCTAACATGTCAGTCATTATAGATTGGTATTCATTGGTGGTCTCTTCTCTGACATATGAGCCACATTTCCCTCATATGCAGGGAAGTTTTCTTCATACAAAGAATAATTTTAGATTGTATCTTATACATTGTGACTAATATACTATTGGAACTCTAAATTCTATATGCTTTCCCAAAGGGTATTTTTTTTTTGTTTTAGCAATTAACTTGGATTACTCAAACTCCATGCTGTTTTGGCTTACAGTGGGTCATAGCTGATTCTTGTTCTCTTCTTTTAGTCTTAGCTGGAATGCTTTGGGTCTGCATGGCTTACATGTCATTTTGGGGTCCATCAGCAATTTTGATGAGTTTATACAATGAATTTTGAAGCTTCCCTTCTCTAGCTCTTTATTTTCATCAATATCCTCCCTTACTGTCTAACGTCTTGTCTTTGATACCCCTTCCTTTTACCTGTGTACTTTTGGTCACTCTGCAATGCTCTAGTGCAGCTGTGTTTTATGTATTAAAGAATTTGCAGTTATGTTCTCAGAGGATTTATCTTTTAGGAATTAGTTGGCTATTGCTTGAAGCAGATCCTGGGTTTGTGGTATATTTTGAATGTAAAGCCAACATGGCTGATGAATATGTGGTCGGCACTAGTATAAACAAGATGGTGGTAGTGATTATTGTTCATTTTTGGCTTAAACAACTGGAAGGGTGATTTTACTCATTTTTGTGGGAAGGAAGACTAGGAGAAGAGCATGTTTGACTGGGATAGAGAGGGTGTAGAACTGTCAAATAGGTAGTTGGATATTTAGAATCTGGATCTTGGGGAGAAGTGAGTCCTAGAGATCCAGATTTAAGCCATCAGAATATAATTGGTATTTGAAACTGCGGGACTCAGTAACTTTACTTAAGAAAACTATAGCAGTACCATGTTCTGAGGCACAAAAGTGTCTAGAAGTCTAGTGGATGAGGAAGAACTACTAAGGGAAATTGAGGAGGAGGAACCAGTGTGACAAGCTCCTGGGAGTGTAGATCACAGACATCAGAGAAGAAAGTTCCAGAGAAGGCAGGAGTGGACAACTGATTTGAATACTGTTGAGAAGTCTGAAACTAAGGGCAAAAGAGAGACTCTTAATTGGGTGGGGCAGAGACCATCAGTGACTTGACTAGAACATCTCACAAGAACGATAGAGAAACAGGAGGCAAGAAAGTGGAGACCACATCAGCTGTGGACCAAATTGCTTGCTCTTTGAGCTTGAATTATTTAGGCTGCATGTTCAGTTGTAACTTTATAACTTCCGAAGCAGAATGGGAACTCATGATTCACTGTCTATCATTGATGATGTTGCCTCTGTTCTGCTGCTGGGAAGACTTTTCATCTGCCTGCTCAGGTTACCTGGACAATCTAACTGCAAGAGTTAGAGGTGGCATTTTCTGTGTGTCTGCAGCAATAAGACATATTGTTTAAAGCTAATTAATAGTTGACAACATGTCTTTAATTAGTGGCCTTACTGATAATGGAAAGTGAAATCTGAGCTATAGCCATAGATACTTTAGGTTCTTACTTTGCCAACTAAGAGTTTCTTTTTTTTGTTGCTCAGGGTAGAATTTGTGAGGCACAAGTTTCTTAATGCAGCCATTTTTGTGGTTCACAGTATCATTTGCCTAAGAAACTAGAATTTTCTGTGTTGTCAGATTCTGACAGCTCATGGGAAACTTCCACAGAATCAGCATTTGTTTACCAGGTGTCAATTTGCTTAATATTGGCCCCTGGAACATAGACTTGTGTTTCTTTACACATTGTTTTCAAATATAATAACTCCATGAAGATTTATTATTGGGCTTCTTTCCACTCACAGTCTATTTTACCTTAGCATCTGGCTTTAACCTTTGCGTCTGGCCAAAACAAAACACAAAAGAAATCAATCAAGCCAGAATCCTATGTTTATTTTCTGATGCCACCTCAGAGTTTAGTGCCTGGCTCTGTTGCTTTGCTGCCACGTATTTGCATCTGGCATGGTGTTGAACTCTTTATTTTTTTATTTATTTATTTTTTTTTATTAAATAATAAATTTTATTTTTATATTCCCCATACAACTGCACATGCCCCATTCTGACCCCAATCCCTCCCCTCCCGGCCCCCACCCCCCAAAAAGTGTCTCTGGTTCATAGTTTTTTGTTGATTTTGATTTTCACTTTCTTATAGTTATTCTTTTTCCTGATCCCTTATTTAAGTTTTCTAGATTCCTGCTATGAGTGAGACCATCCGGTATTTTTCTTTTTCTTTTTGGCTTATTTCGCTGAGCATGATCCCTTCCAGCGCCATCCATGTTGCTGCAAATTGCATGTGTTTATCTTTTTTGAATGCTGAGTAATATTCCATGGTATATATGTACCACATCTTCTTGATCCAGTCATCTATTTTTGGGCATTTGGGCTGTTTCCAAAGCTTAGCTATTGTAAATAGTGCTGCTATAAACATAGGGGTGCAGGTGTTCTTTGGAATGGATGTTTCTGTGTCCTTTGGGTAAATACCTAGGAGTGGAATTGCTGGATCATATGGAAGCTCTATGTTTAGTAGGTCCAGAAATCTCCACACAGCTCTCCATAGTGGTTGGACCAGTTTGCATTCCCACCAACAGTGCAGAAGAGTTCCTTTTTCTCCACAACCTCGCCAACATTTGTTGTTGCTAGTTTTTTTAATATGTGCCATTCTCACTGGTGTAAGATGGTATCTCATGGTAGTTTTGATTTGCATTTCCCTGATTACAAGTGATGTTGAACATTTTTTCATATGTCTGTTGGCCATTTGCATTTCCTCTTCAGAGAAGTTTCTTTTCAGCTCTTCTGCCCATTTTTTGACTGGAATATTTTCTTTGTTGTTGTTGAGTTTCATCAGCTCTTTGCAGATTTTTGTGATCAGTCCTTTATCATTAGTGTTGGGTGCAAAAATGTTCACCCAGTTGGTGGGGTTTCTCTTTGTTTTTGTTATTGTCTCTTTTGCTGTGCAGAAGCTCTTTAATTTGATGTAGTCCCATCTGTTTATCTTTGCCTTCACTATCACTGCTTTGGGTGATGTGTCTGTAAAGATGTCTTTGATATGCAAATCACGTAGTGTTTCACCTATATTTCCTTCTATGTATTTTATGGTTTCAGGTCTTATGTCTAGTTCTTTAATCCATTTTGAGTTGGTTTTTGTGTATGGTGTGAGGTAGTGGTCAAGCTTCATTCTTTTGCATGTAGCAACCCAGTTTTCCCAGCACCATTTATTGAACAAACTTTCTTTGCTCCAATGCATAGTCTTTGCTCCTTTGTCAAAGATTAGTTGACCATAAATCTGTGGGTTTATTTCTGGATTTTCTATTCGATTCCATTGGTCTGTATGGGTGTTGAACTCTTTAGACCTGTTCTCTTGCATTAAGTTAGAATGGTTATATCAGGTCTGATGGTTATGCCAACATTGCTGGATTGACTCTTCCTTTAAACAACCTTTTCCTTTTGGATGGGGTATCAAACTATCCCAGACTGCCTGTTTCTATGTAAGTTCTATTATCTGTTCCAAGAAGACTCTATTACAGACATGTGAATTTCATCTTGGTGTAGCATTGATGATATTTCAGGGCCATCAAGATGATCCCAGTAATTCCTCAACTAAGCCTCACATGGGACCTCAGTATTTCATTACACTGATGATTTCTGCTACAGTTTTCCTACTAGCCCCATATTTCATTTGTGTTTTCATTCTCTTTATTTTTCATAATTTTTACTGAGGTAACCTTGGGCCACAACGCTATACATGGTTTAGAAGCAGAGGATCACACCACTGCAGAGTTAAAAATATTTCTGCAAATAAATAAAAACACAAGTTTGACACTAAATCTTCTATTATTGGTTTAGAATGATTGGGGCGGTTTCCACATATAGCAACTATTTCTAGAGCACGTTGTATTATTTGACCTATCTTAACATTGGTCAGATTACCTTCTCTGAGTTAGCAAATGACATGATTTGTAGTAATCTCTTTGATAATATTTGTTTAGTGCAGTTGGGGTTCCAAGCCTTAAAACCAACACTTTTATCTGTGGATTAATGCCTTTCCAAAATGTTTAGTTGACTTTTAAAAATTTCTTTGCTGGAAACCTGGCAATTGTTTTTCCTGTTAGTTTTGTGACACTGTTGTTGAGTGGGAACAATTCCTATTATAACTCTCAGAACTGAATTACAGCCAAATTTGAACTATTTGTGCTTTGGAGAGGAGAATTGGCAAGGGTGAGTGATCCATGGCTGGTATATTGTAAGATAATTGTAACCATAGCGATATTTGTTTCCTAATATTGTGTTTCTAAATTTAAAGGATGAGGTTCATCATAGGAAAAAAAATCCATTTGTATGTTTCAAGTTGAATTTAAATTATTCCAACTTGATTATTACAACATGAGAAGTAGTTGTTTCCTGTGGAATAGGCAGTTCGGTAATTTGCTTGATCTCATGTGGAAGTGGTTTTTGCCTGGGCAAATGATATCTTTTAATAAAGTTTAGTTTCTAGAAAGACATACCTACCATTGTTAACTTTTAAAAAAATCTAGATAAAAGAATATGAAAAACTTGAGAATGAGGAAGATCGCCTTTGTAGAAGTCGACAAATATATGACACCTATATCATGAAGGAGCTGCTGTCTTGTTCTCATGTAAGTATGTCTTTTTGTTCTATTATGATGAGTAAATAAGAGACAACTTCCAGTGTCTTCAGGATTAACATAAAATAGAAGGAAGATGTTGAAAAATTAGGCAGTATTCATCCATGGTGGAATCCATTTTTTCTGTCACAAGTTTGCTGATAACACTGATCCAACATCTGTTGCTTCATATACCCTTCTTATATTTCCAAAAGGAAATAGTTTCACTGCAAAAATTCATGGACTAATATAGCTAATTCAGATCAATGGAGCAAAGATTGCTCTCAATTCTAGACTTTCTAAAGGATATTAGGCTTGATTATTTTTAATTTAGCTATATTTAACAATTAGGCTAATCAAACATTGATAAATGTAAATTGTAAATGTTTTCTTTGAATTAACAAGGAAGGTTGTAATTATTAAGTTAATTTTGTTCAGTTGTTAAATGATTGAAGTAATTTTTTTCCCTTGTAAATCAGATAAGCAATCTAATCCAATCATTAGGATAAACTAAGTTCCTAGGAATTTATTTCATCAGAAATGAGTGGAATAATTAGTGATGAAAATTTACCATGTAATGTCTTTGACTTAAGGCTCTCTTCCAAAGAAGTGGCCTAACAGCCCTGGCCTGCTGTGTTCAATGCAGTATCCATTAGCCACATGTGGCTATTTAAATTTAAACTTAATTAAAATCAAGTGGAGTTAAAAATCAATTCCTCAGTTCCTCAAGAGCCACATTTCAAGTGCTGTATAGTCACATGTGTCTAATGACTCCTGCTCACCAGCACAAAAATGCATTTCTGCCATCACAGAGTCTGTCTGATTGGACAGCTCTCATCATGATATATGGTAGTGCTTTAATATGTATTCTGCTGTGAACAGTTTTTACTGACATTTGAATTACTTGCTGAAGATGACATGCTGGTAACATAGCTTGCTTAACAGTTCTTTGGACTCAACTCACTATTAAAAAGAACTCCTAAGCTGCAGCTAACTGTGGGTGCTCTGTGTGCCTTGCTGCCTTGCTAGAGAATGACTGACCCTTGGAAAATGCTAGATAGTCAATGGGAAAGTATCTGCAAACTTAGTTTTCATGTAGCTCAGCAATTTATCGGGTTCTTGGCAGCCAGGTGAACTTTTTAAGCCTTTTTTCTAATTGTGCTCTGCTAAAGAAGATGCAGTTTGCAGTTTTGGGGGAGGGTAGAATTTGTAATTCTTACCAGTGTAAGTTCCATTCTTTTAGCACCAATTTCCCTCTGCTGCTTCCCGCTGCAGGATTGTCCTTTAACCTGCAGCCTTTTAATGCAGTGGCTGAGCTTTGTGTTCCCGGCATTTAGTTCTTAGGCATATTTTCAAGCGCATTTTCTCTTATGTAGTAGACATTTCACATTTTTAATGACACCATTATCAGTTACGGGTTATGTGCATTTAATAAGATGATGGTAGGACACTTTACACTTTTTAAAAGACAGCAATCTTGAACCCTTGTGGGATTAGATATAGCAATGAAGTGTCCCTGTGCTCATCAGCCTTCTCAACCGATTTTTCAAAACTACATATAATTGCCGCAGGTGACTGTTTTGCAGTTGTGTTAGAGTACCTGTTGTGAGGCTATGTAATGTACAAAAGTTTGTTACATTTTATATTTGTGGAAAAAAAAAATTGTTTTTGATTTTTTTAAAAGCCGTTCTCAAAGCAAGCTGTAGAACATGTACAAAGTCACCTGTCCAAGAAACAAGTAACATCAACTCTTTTTCAGGTAAGACAAAATTATTTCAAAATGAACATATCTAATTTTCTTAACAGTCGGACTGATGACACTTTCTTTGCATGTGTGAATGTGCTAGAGGAATTGATGTGGAAGACTGTATTCTTTTTTTTTTTTTTAATCTTTTTTTTTTTAAATTTATTCAAGCACTGGGTACAGTCAGAAGCATGGTGAGCGTGAGAGAATTCACCAGAGCCAGAGTGGGGAGTAGAACAGGCAGAAGGACAGAAGTACACTGCTGAGGGGAGCAGCAGGAGCGGCAGGAGAGGTCTGCGCGCCAAGTGGGACCCTTGCCGGTGGCTGGCCGGGGATCAAACTGGCGATGCAGAGGCTGAGGGCAGCTCTGCAGCCCAGCGCTCAACCGCTGCGTCACCCAGGAGGCCCTGGAAGACTGTATTCTTGTCTGGAGGTCTTTCTAGAACAATTTAAGCTTAATATCGCATGTCTTCTCATTTAAATGTGTGCTCTTATATGAACATCCTTTCTAAAGACGTTTCTGAAAAAGGTCACTGGAGCTTTCTAATAATAATATTTTCTATAAATCAATTAAGACAAGACATTGGAGGAAATAGCCTTTTCCCATTTGACATTCCAATTACCTGTGACAAGCAGGGACTTTACAAGGTGCTTTTTTTTGTGGTAGAGATGTTGATGCTGATTGTAGTTATTCTCCAAATGAAGCAGATTCAATTCCAATAGCCAAGAGTGAACATTTGAATGACCTTGTTGAAATGACCTTCCTCAGTCATGACTGAGGGAATTGGATTTTTTGCTTTGGTCATCATATCTTGAATATAACACGGTTATATAGATTTATATTACAAGACTTGGAAAATCAAACTCATAACTAGAGGGCCTCTGTATTTGCTGCTCTTGATTTCTTCTCCTCCCTGAAACCTTTTCCATCCTTTGTGTTTTCTACAAAGGTGGCAGCTTGCAAAGACATGGTCAAATTTGCATGTGGATAATGTACTTATATTTTAAAGAATTATATAAAATATGAGAGAATGACAAATACTATAATGATTTTCATGAATTAAAATAATTTATCCTTTTCTTGGATTACTTAGTTATGTGCAGAGGGGTAAATTGAGTTTTACTTTGGTGCCTTACAAGAGGAATCATTTATCTATGCAAAATAAATCTGATTATTCTATTGAGCAAATGATAGATAGAACTTTGACTACAGTAATAAGTTGGGTGTTACCTTTCTGCCAAAATAATTAGATGGATATTTCTGAAAACAGAGGAGCTGTATGTTTAGTCTTGTTGGTTATAAACTTTAAACCTGGGCTCTGAATTCTTTTGCACTTGTTCTTGCTTCCATCTGTTCATCTGTGAGTGGAAATGTCCATTGGGCTCTCCTCAAAGTGGGTATTAAGAATTCAGTGAGAAAGGTGCACATGGGTTGCTTTGCATCTGGCCTGCCGATCACACTATCTTTGTGAGTTAGCGCTTGTTAGATCCTTCAGAAAGTGCAGTGTGAGAATCTGCTTTTTGTTGTCTCCCTGATATTTTAGTGTCAGAATTTCAGTTTTCAGTTGACTAGGAAATCGTTCATAGTCAATCACATTTAATACTGTTAAATTATATCTCGTAATATATGGATTTTACAACTTTGATATATTGACTTTTCCTGTAGTGTAAGTAATGTTTTAAAAAATAGGTGCATGAAAGACCAACAAAATTCTTTCCATGTCTTCAAGGAATATGCATTTAAAAGTACTTTAAAAATATTGATTTATTCATTTAAGAAATGAATGACAAATTCTGGTAAAATAGACAAATAGAATAAGTGGTAGTGTCATTCTTTTTTTTTTTTAAAGATTTATTTATTTATACAAGAACTGGGGTAAAGGCCAGATGTGCGGGAGTGGGAGAGTGAGAGGATTCACCAGAGACAGAGCGGGGAACAGAACAGGCAGACTGACCGAAATACACTGCTGAGGGGAGCAGCGGGCTAGACAGGAGAGGTCTGCTGCGCCATGGGGTATCTCCCCTGGCCTGTCGCACTTGAACCCGCACTGCAGAGGCCATGGACAGCCTCGTAGCGTTGTGCCCAGCCGCCTGCGCCACCATGGAGGCCTGGTATTCTTATTTATGAAGGTCAAAGAAATAGTCATTATTAAGTTGATTAAAATAAGGAGTGTATTAACTACAATTCAGGGTAATGTGCTATTAGAACATAGGAATTATGGTACAACCACAAAGTTGGAAGAGTTCTCTGAGTTGAAATCCCCCCCTGGGCCCCCACCCAGCTTTGTGGAGATAGAATTAAGCAAAACTTGCAGATGATTTAAGGTGTATAATGTGATGTTTTAATATAGGTATAAATTGTGAAATGACCATCAACTAATTAACATGTTCAGCACCCCACATAGTTTGGTGGTTTGTGTTTTATTTTCTGGCATGTTCTACATTAAATTTCCAGAACTTATTCATCATGTAATAATGGAACTTTGTACCCTTTGACCAACATCTCCCAGCAGCAGCCGAACGACCTGACAAATGGCTCACATGCAGCTCAGGGTCTTTGCCTCCCCTGCCAGGCTGTAACAGCAGCAAAACCAGGAACAGTTTCAATAACTCAGCTGCTTGCAAAGCCTTCAAACTTTCCTCTCTGAGGTTGGCTGCTGGAAGCCCCTCTGCGTCCTTCAGAGGCCTGCAACAGCCTTCTGCAAGATTAGTGTGGTGGGGGCCAAAATTGCTGACCCCGGAATCGCTGAAGATTTAAAAATGCTGGATCTCAAACACTGAATGCTGGGTCCTGCTCCTGCAGTCCCTTATATATATATATATATATTTTTTTATCAGATTCCCTGCCCCAAAATGCAATACTTTATTAGCATTTTCCCTGGGACTGTCTATCCTCACCAGCACCCCCTCCAGGGGGCACCATTTGTAATAATCTTTGGCTTCAGCCACCAGTAATGGTTCTACTATGGGACCCTGACTTTTGCACTGCTTACTTGGCATATTTTATGGTTCTCTCTGTTGAGTTGTAATGTGATGTGTTCTATTTTGTTTAAAAAATTTCTAGTGACCTTTTTCTTTTATTAGCAGGAAGCATGGACTATTTAATAAAATATAAAAAAAACTATGAATCAACATAATGGTTTTTATAAATGGAAATTCTGTGATATACAAATTCAGTCTTTTCATAGATCTTTGACCTCTTGATTTGATTCATCTTTTGATCAGTCTTTTGATCTTTCCATCTTTTTGAACCTCTTGAGACTTGTGGTCCTTGGTTTTTCACATCTAGAGGACTGGGTTAAGGTAGATATTGTTTATCATCTTGGAATCTTATAAGTTGAGAGCTGAAAGAGCTTCCCCAAGCTAGTTGAGCTTCCCTCTTACCAAGGCAGGAACAAAGTTCATTTGGTTGTAGTGACCAGTCCCAGTGCCCTGCCCACAACAGACCCACAGTCGTGTAAGGCAGTGGAGGCTACCTTAGCTGTGAGTCTCCTTTCTGGTGCAGGAAGTAGGACTTCCAGAAAAGCTGTGGTTGTCTTACTGCCTCTGTCTGGTTGCTATGTCTTCAGCAGACTTCCTAATCTTGTCACTTGCTTTGTATTATTCCATGATCTGGCCTGCCCTTTTTTTTTTTTTTTTTTTGCAGTTTTTCAGAGTAATATATGAAGACACAAAAAATGTTAAACTGGCAGCATTTAGTGTAGGGTATTAAAATACTTTTAAAAACTATTTAATTGACTCTAGGCTGAATTGTGAAATATTAGCATTTGATATATATATATATATATATTTCTTGATTTATAGTTCATCACATGGAAAAGGAAAGTTTATGCCATTTACTTAGTAATATACAAAGTGGCATGAAATTGAAGAGGATTGTTCTCCATGAGAGGAACAATGCACACGTGAGCCAAGGGCCCATGAACTTGCTCAGAGACCTGGGGAATGCACCGACTCATAAGGCCACTGTGTCCTTAAGTGTCAGGTGAAGATTGGGATTAATGTTCCCTCCTGGTTACCTTTAATTCTATGGTTCTAAGATAGAGAAAATCATTAAGTAAAATGGTTATTTTAAAAACTTTTATTCATGGTTTTCTTAACTTTTAGTCTGTAAAAAATCAATTTTTATAATTAAAATGATCATAATTAATACTAATGTAATTAGCTAAGTAATATAATTAACTTACAGTATATGCCACATAATGTACAGGGTCCATTAAAAAAATGAAAATGTGGGGTCCCTTGTTCAGAAATTATTAAAAATTTCCAGATGGTGACAGCAAGGCCCTAAGCCAACCAATGGGCTCTTCTAAGTATGAATCCTTCATGGCTTCATGGTTGGCAGGCCCATGAAGCTAACGCTGCTCATTTAAGAAATGGCTGTGACTTGACAGAGCCATGCTACACAGCAGGGGTTAAGGGACAGGCAGGACAGACCTGTTCCAGCCTACCTAGAGTGGGCCACTGAGTGGTGTTGATAAGTACTAAGTAAATAATCATGATGAGGAATCTGTTAGTGAAGATTGGACAAATGCTAACAAGGACTAGACAAAGATGCTGTGGGGGGGGCACTTAATTGGGAACCTCATCTAGTCAGAAGCTCACCCACGTGTGTGTTTTTTACTTAATATGTTCCTATTTATGCAGTGTGGAATTTCTTTTCCATCCTTTCCAGCCATATATAGAAGAAATTTGTGAAAGTCTTCGAGGCAACATTTTTCAAAAATTTATGGAAAGGTATGAAACTTTGTATATAAAATGTTATGCTCTGTAGGTATACATCATTTTATTTAAGAAGGCTGTTCCTTACACCATATGTTAATTTATTCTTCATCATGTGTTTTTTGTATTCTGTGTCAGGTTTTATGGTAGACCATTTCCTTAACACTTAATGTTGTAACTTAGGATTTGTGTATCTTAAAGTTTCTCTGACCTTTAGTTTTCAGCTTCAAAATTGGCTAAGATTTAAATAGACTAAGGAATCTTAATATTAGATGTATTTTATTAGGCTACCTTTATTAATGCAAGCACGACCCTATAATTTATCTAATTCATTTTTCGGATTTTGAAACCATATCCCCCGGAGTAGGACACGATGGCACTTGATCCTTTATGTAGTAGAACTCTGGGTATAGGCAAATATCTGTGTTTTTTACACACACATGCGCGCACGTGCGTGCATGCACACACACACCCACATACACACACACTAGTATACATATTGATTATGTTCCTTTGGGTTACTCAGATTATAGAACATGTTTGTCATGCTAAAGAACTTCAGTGATGCCTATAAAAGTTTTCAGCTCATAAGCTTGTTGGGTACCCAACAGTCAGTTCTTCAGTATTTTGAGTATTCCTCTGTGATAATGCACTATTTAAATCAGACTTTCTGAAACTGAATCTGCATTCACACTGACTGTTCTTTCCCCCATAAATTCAGCAAATTTCTAGACAATTGACATGCTGATTGTGTCTCCTTGCTGGAGCAGCCTGCAGCTGTTCAGTAATTGCCCTTTAAGAACAAATGCTGCTTCATTGCAGCTTTTTTCTCCACATATACAGAAATAATTAAAAAAAAAAAAAGAAACAAAACCCCAAAACATTGTGTTGTGAATCTTCAAGAGTTCAAGATAATTTTATCATGGAGTAGAGTCAATACTTTGGGAAACTAATATTCATACTCATGATTACACTTTTCTGAGTAAGAGCAAAAATTTGCCAAAAAAGCAACTGAATCCATCTGAGGCGGTGGGTGGGTTACAAATTCAGAACCACATCCACTGCTGTGGATTCTAAGATCTGACTTTTCCCAACTCTTGGATCAACCTAACTTTTATGCAATCCCTGGGGAAGAGAGGAGAGGAGGGGATGGTGATTAAAATTGGGGCAGGTGTCTCCTCAAGTGTGTGCCTTCACTAGTCAGCAGGTAAACCTGCAAAGTTTGTCTTTTCTCCCACTGAGTTAGTCATTCACTGTTATTGTCTCAAGAAATGCAAGTGAAGTGGCTGGCATGCACACTGGATTTTCTGAAGCAGTGACCATTTTATGTAAATGAACTCTCTTTAAAGTCAATTTATTTTTATACCTTTTTTGGGTTTCATTTTATGCTAAAACATCCTCCAATTAGAATTAAAAAAAAATCCATTGTCAGACTAAGAGTTTAGTTTTGGTTTTGAAAGGTGCTGCCCTCCCACTTCAGGAGCACCCACACTTTCTAAGGGCTTCCCATTTATGGCAGTTTCTCTGTGGCCACACTGCAGTCTGATAATAAAGTGGAAGTCTTCAGTAGTACAGGGCTCCTTTCTCCCCCTTCCCCTGAGGCCAGAGGCCAGGCAGGGACACAGGGCTGTTTCAGGTGGGACTGAGTCCCAGAGGAGGCATTCCACCCTTCCAGATGAGGCCTGTGGGCTGTGTTCAGAGAGTAAACTTCAGCTGCTTAGGAACCAAAAGCCAGACTCAGAAGTCATAATCAAAAAAAAAAAAAAAAAGGCTTACCCCACCCCATCCTTACTGCACCAGTCATTTCTATATCTTTAGCCTCTGGTCTTTCCTCTGGTACCCTTGTAAGTTGTCTGCAAGGACTCTGGCTGTCCAAAGCCCTTGATTGCCCAGGCCCTACTTTGCTCTCTGCCAAGAAGTACCCATTCCAGTAACTAGGTCTTGCTAGAAATAGCATTCAAGGAATCCCGTGGATACTCCACTGAGCCTGCACACCTAGGGGCCATGTGTACTTCCCAAAGAAGAATTTGTTACACCAGATCTGTATTCAGTGGACAAACTGTGTTCTTGAGGATATTCTTTTCTCAGGGGAGAGGTGGTTTGGAGGGACAGAGTGTGGGCTGGGAGTTAGTGCTCCTGGACTTGTGACTTGGAAGGCATTTCTGTGGTTGTTAACCCTCCCCAGCTAGTTTGCAAATTTGTAAAATGTGCTAGACCTCTGCCCATTATCACAACTCTGGACTCCAGAGTCTGTGAGTCAAGGGTAGTCCAGCACAGGGAATTTCACAGTCCTGGATTTATAAATGCAGAGTACACCCCAACATGATTTGCTTTTTGCACTCACTGTAATTTGAAAAAGCTATTTGAATTAACTTTCAGAAACTCTCAAAATATAATTTCGTTTTATTAAGCATGTATATCAGGAGGATCAATAAAACATTTTGATTCATTGAAAAGAGATGTTATGTAATTACAAAGAATTGTTTGCTGTTGATTTCCAAGTTGATATTAGGCTCAGAAATATTTTTTAGAAGATAACTATGAGGCATATTAAAAGAACCCTTCAGGGAACTGAGATATTTGCATGCCTTTAAAACATTCTGTTATAAAGCCAGTTGCCCCTATAAATTGCACTTCATGAGAACTCCCTCCTCTCCTCCTCCCTTCTCCTCCTCCTGCCTCTCTCACCTTCCCTCCCCCCTCCCTCCTTCCCTTTTCCTTCCTTTTCTTTCTCTTTCTTCATTCATTCATTTTTTCATTTTTTAATGATAGGTAACTTCATTTTCTATTATTTTTATTTTTATTTTTTTAAGATTTATCTATACAAGAACCGGGGTACAGGCCATATGTGTGGGAGGGTGAGAGGATTCACCAGAGACAGAGCAGGGAGCAGAACAGGCAGACTGACGAAGTACACTGCTGAGGGGAGCAGTGGGCATGACAGGAGAGGTCTGCTGCACCATGTGGGACCCTCGCCGGTGGCCGGGGATCGAACCAGCACTGCAGAGGCTATGGACAGCTTCACAGTGTGGTGCTCAACCACCTGAGCCACCAGGGAGGCCCTTCTTATTTTTTTAATTTTTGTCTAGAAGAACTAGAGTGTACGCTAGAGGTACAGGGGGTGAGAGGATTCACCAGAGACAGAGCAGGGAACAGAACAGGCAGACTGAGGAAATACACTGCTGAGGGGAGCAGCGGGTGAGACAGGATAGGTCTGCTGTGCCATGTGGGTTACTGTCTGGCCAGGGATCAAACTCAGGCCATAGTGGTGATAGTGCTTACCCTTATGCCAATAGGGAGGCCCCATTCATCCATTTATTAAGAGAAGTGAATACTGTGTCTATGTAAGGGATCATGTCAGGGACTAAATGAGATCCATCATTTACCAAAGATTCTTTGCTTTTAGAAAACATTTCTTTTGAAATTTTTTTAAATTTTCAAATTTTGAAGGCAGGTTGTCTTTTTAAAATAGATATGGGAATACATGTTTTTCTGTATGGATAACAAAACACATAGTCGATGACTTGTAAGAGCATAGTCTCACCATTATGACTTTTTTTTTAAAAGATTTATTTTATTTATTTATACAAGAACCAGGGTACAGTCAGAAGCGCAGGAGGATGAGAGGATTCACCAGAGACAGAGCGGGGAACAGAACAGGCAGACTGACAAAATACACTGCTGAGGGGAGCAGCAGGTGCAACAGGAGAGGTCTGCAGCGCCATGTGCGACCCTCGCCATCCAGCTGGGATCGAACCAGCACTGCAGAGGCTGCAGACAGCTTCATAGCACGGCACTCAGCTGCCTGCACTAGCAGGGGAGGCCCGCCATTATGACTTATTGCACCACCTGATTGTAGTCTGTGGGTTTCTCTACTATACTCTTTCTATCCTTGAGAGGCAGTACTTGATCTGGACTTCCACTCAGCTTCACCCATTCTCTCCCTGTGACCTTGGGCAAGACTTGGTCATCCCAGCTATAAAATGAGAACCATGCAGTTGTTGGGAGGACTACCTGAGCGGGACCTGGCACATGATATGTACTGTTTAAGTGCTGTTTCACTTGCAATTATTTGTAAACATGACTTTTTTGTTACTCGGAGCTGCCCTGACCAGTGCAGTAGCCAGTCACCACACGTAGCTTTTGAGCACTTGAAATGCAACAAGTCTGAATTAGAAGGTGTTGTCAATGTGAAATGTATACCAGAGTCTAAAGACTTCATATTAAAACAAGAATATAGACTATCTCATTAATAACTTTATATTGATTACATGTTAAAATGATAATGTGTTTGATGTATTGGGTTAAATAGAATGTTACTAAGACTAAATCACACATAGGGTTCATGTTATCCTTCTATGGGACACTGCTAATTCAGATTAAAATATCATGACATACAAGTAAAGGAAATGCTTGAAGTCTGGTGTCATAAAGTAAAGCCACAAATACTGATACTGTGAAAAAATGTTTTCAAAAACTTGCTTCTTTCTATTTGAGAAGCCACATTTCTAGTTTATCTTATCACATTGTTCTGTAAACCCAGGTGATTTGATATTTCCCTTTTCAATAATTATTTATATTCTCTTTCAGTGACAAGTTCACTAGATTTTGTCAGTGGAAAAATGTGGAGTTAAATATCCATGTGAGTATCATCTTTTTTCCTTTTTTCTTTAAATAAAAACTTCCTCTGGTTTAACTTCATGAGAAAATACTTTTTCTGGAGCGTACTCCCCAGGGTCTCGCCTGCCCGAGCAGATGTCCTCACGGCTTTATGTATGAAAAATTCAGCCTCCCATACCCAATTGTAAACCATTGAGCTTCAGTTCTATTTTTTCATACTGGATTTAGGATGCATTGTTTATCTAAGAAAGGCTATTTTAAGCAGTAATTGACCCTTTAACAGAAACAGTAGTGACAACACACGTCTTTTCCCCATACTGTAATTCCTGTAGATGCTTGTCTTTTGCCTTCCTGGTAAAGTTCCTATTCTTTTTCTTTGTGTGAGGTGTAATTGTGTAATAAAAATGACGATATCTTTCACTCTCCCAAGTTTCCATCTTCTTTTTAAGATTATTTTGGGGATGATGAAAGCTCGCCTCAAGCACAGACTGTTTTGCAGTGTCTGCATTCCCTTCGCTGTCCTTTCCATTTTCAGTGTCAGGAATTCTAGGTCAGAAACTTTACTTCGCTTTTGAACCACACATTTCTTTGTACAACTTCTCTTCCTGTCTTCTTTTCTTCCTTCACATGGGTTTGCAATTGGGAAAAATAATAACTGGAACTTTTCTGTGGGGGGAAGTTTTTACTTGAACAACACTGCTAGAAGAAGATGTTTACTTTTTTTTTTTTTTCTACTTCCCCTTTCCATTGCATTTCCTGGCAGGATTTAGAAGCAAAAAGCCATAACATATATATTTTTAAATCCTTTATATCTGCTGTGGATCTTCCTTGCGCGTGTGTCCTTTAACAGACCTGGTATCCTCAGATCCTTGGTATGTCGCTTGTGAGACCTGTGGGCCAAATGCTCCAACCTGGCTGTTTAAGCACTGTATGGGGCAACCCTTCAAGAATCTGACCCTTAATTTGCCAGGATATGTAAACTAGTAAGCATTTGCTATTGTCCACGGATGCAGGACTCTCTCTTTGCCTTTGCACTATCTCACGCTATTAAAACTCCTTAGAAAGGAGGGCATTGCTGAGAGTAATTGACAAAAGGCGAGTGCTTATGAATAAAGCCTCTGTATCTGCTTCACTCACACTTAGTCTTGTTTCATGCTCACATGCCCAGCACGAGTCTTCTCCATTCACTGATGTTATCGATAAAAAATTCACATGGCCGGCGTCTGTTAGCTTTTCTGGTCATATGGCTCACTACTATGAAAACACAGATGCTCTCGATGTAAACTTATTTTTCCACCATGACAGCTCCTGAAATTGTTGAATTGTTCCCAAACTTGAAGCTTCAGAGTAGCGGAGGTTGCTTGGCATTTTGACCAGAAGTTTTAGTCTCTGGTCTTCAAGGTATCCATCTTGTAATCTAAGATTTATGAGACTGAAAACACAATCTAACTTGACTGCTAATCTGTCATCTTCCCACTGGCCTCCTTTTTGTACATTTGGGAAGTAGAGCAGAAGGAAATTCTGGAAAGTCTTCTCCACCCTGTCTCTCTCATCTCTCACTTTGAAAGGGGCAGATCCCTATATCAAAGTTGTTGTTTTAGTAACTGTACATGTTTTGTGTGATGAAATATTTACGATACAGTTTTATGCAGTTTATGTTTTTATTTTGTATTTTAAACTCACAGTTGACCATGAATGATTTCAGCGTACATAGGATCATTGGGCGAGGAGGATTTGGTGAAGTCTATGGTTGCAGGAAAGCCGACACTGGAAAAATGTAAGATTCGATGCTCATATATTTTGCCGGGAATACTAAGAAGGTTTTATGTTTGCATCCAAAGAAAATCCCCACATAGACACGTGGAAGCCCATGATCTCGCTCTTGAAGTAATTTGCCTAACAAAGAAAGAGGCTACATTTTGTCAAGCATAGAAAATGAGAACAAAAACCTGGGACCTCTGCTCTTAGGGCTAAGTGGGAAATTAACCCATCTTTTGTCTTGCATCACCCTCCATGGTTCAGTCAGGGGTCCAGAAGTAAGTGAGAAGGACATTGTATTTACACAACCTGCCAGACTGATCATACTTGCAAAGGAGTCTCTGCAGAGGAGACCCTGTCTTCTAAATAGTGATTTAGTGTGGGCCTGTGACTTAGTCTGGGCAGCTGTGGGTGAGGTAGCATTCTAGATGTTGGTTCTTCAGGTGAGTAGTTGGGTGCTGTGAGAAGGATGCTCTGTTGTGATGATAACAATTGTGGGGTCCTTCATTCACTTTTCTTATAGGAGGTTGATGTGAGGCAATTGAATATACACAAGCCAGGCACAAGGGTCTTCTGGAAAGTGAGTGGTGGAATTGTTAACTGGGGTGGCGGGGGGGGGAATTTATTTTTAAATTGGAAGCAGTTTACAAGAACATATTTCTGAAAGTAAATGAAAATGGAAATAGAGGACTTGATAGACCCTGATTTACAAGTTTGATTAAGTGACAGGCATGTTAGAACAGTGGACAGCCTGTGTCTGTGAAGTTCAGTTTATGAAATCATTCAGTGTAAGAAGGAATAATAGGGGCCGCCTGATGCTGGGCCTGTCTCCCTGTGCCACCCTAGCAGTGCCTACAAGTCATCACTCAGCTTCTGCTTGGGTCCTTTCTGGGATTGGGCACTAGCTGTTTTGCCAGACAGTCCTTTCTGCTTTCTAATGGGTCCTGTGGTTGGCCTGTAATTTATTATTTGGGGCCTGAAATTAATCTTGGGTCATGTGTGCCCATTCCGCTTCTTCCTGCTTTGGGAGGACCCCATACAAGATGAAGCCAATGACAGCCTCACCTAGTCATCCAGAGAGTGGGTCCTGGCATCAGATTCAGCTCCCACACTTTCTGGCCTGGACAAAGCCTGCTTTATTTGAACCTTCATATCCTAGTCTATAAGGTAGGAAAAATAAAAGTGCTGACCTTGTTGTAAGAATTCAATGTGATAGCACATTATAAAGGACTTGGAACACTGCTGTCCCATGGTAAGTATTAGTCAACCAAAGGCCCTTATGAAATCCTTCTTCCCCATCCTGTGCCCACACAGTAGACTTTTTGATCCTAAATGATGCTTGTCTTTGTTTGTCAGTTACTATAATGCACTAAATGTGTCTTATGTCATTATCTTACCTTGCCCAGGTATTAAGAAAGTCTAGTCTGTTGTGTGATGTTCTAAAGGTGAATAGTATCAACTTGTTTCTTTATACACTGACTCCCCAAAAGAGCCCTTATGTGGTAAATGGTCTCTCTGTAGATTAAGGGTAGACTCTTATCAGGAGTCACAGCTAGAAAGTGGTGGAGCTCAGGTGCTGTGACCCTCGTGTATGTCCTTTCCAGGCCCCAGGCTGCCCTGAGCTCTGGCCCTGGGCGGCCCTGAGGCTACTTCATGGTGTTCCTCCTCAAGGCCCACGTGTGGATCTTCTCTGCTTGGTAGTGGGAAGGCTTCATGAAACACCATCTTGGTAGAGGATGGTGATGGAAGTATGGAGCATTTTGGAAATTCTTTATTATAAGAATGAGTGTTTAAAGAGCACATCATTTCCTGTGACCTCATGTTTGATCCCTATACTTAAGCGAATTAGTCTCAATGGATTTATTATACAGAACTCCTAGAAAAGTGCATAAAATAGTAAATTTGAACATTTATCTCTGCTTTGCTGTAGCATATGACTCATGATCAGCTGGAAGTGAGTGGATTCTGTGTGTCTTGCACAGTCCAGCAGCTATCCACTCGTGCACCCAGCAGCTATCCACTCGTGCACCCATCAGTGGGAATTTAGAGTCACATACAAAGAATTTCACACAGAAAGCCTGAAACCCTTCTAAAAGTTTCCTTTCAGTTTTCTGTTGCCATGCTAAAAAAATATCCTGCTGTCTTTAACCCGTGATTATAGGGTATGACAAATAACATGTCTATATTTCCATATTTATGAGTTTGCTTCAGGTTTTTGAGACTCTTAAGTTGTCAACTGTTTCTTGTTCTTACTCAAATACTATGATTTGAGTAATCATAGTATTGATAACTCTATTGATAACTATTAATAACTATATCAAGATTGAAGCAGATCAATAAAATAACATTCCATAGCATGTTTTTTTTGAGCACTGTTCCTTCCCATTTTGTTAAACTCAGTGTTTTAAGAGTCTTACACTCTGTGCATTCTTATAAAATCTTGACCTTTTCTGGATTCACATTTCTTAAATGCTAAATATCATACACACACACACAAACACACACACACCTTGAGACACACACACACAGAAGTACTGGGCAGCAGCAATACATGTACAGACTTTCTCCCCTACTTTATTAGTGTCTGTCTATTTTATGTTCTTATTTAACTGGGATGTCTATGCATGTAATGCTAGAAATATCTATGCCCATTGCACATTTCATGTGTATGCCAAGCTACTGTGTTTTAGTTCAACATGTGTCTGTGCATCTAATGCTAGAAAATTATTGCTTGATTTTTAAAATATCCTTTCATTTTGACATACAGAGTTAGTATAGGGAGTTCCCATGTATCCCACACCCAGTGTCCTCATCTTACCCATTTGAGACATTTGTCACAACAAATAAGCTCACAGATACATTGTTATTAACTGAAGTCTCTTCTCAGATTTATTTCATTTTTACCCAGTGACCCTTTCTGTTGCAGGATCCCCTATTACGTTTTATCAGGATGTCTCCTTAAGCTCCTTTAGACTATGTTGACTTTTCAGACTTTCCTGGTTTTTGATGGCCTGGGTGCCTTTGAGGCATCCGTGTCAAGTACATTGTAGACTATCTTTTAGTTAGGGTTGTCTGATGCTTTTCTTGTCGTTAGAGTGGGGTTGTGAGTATTTGGAAGGAAGATCACAGAAGTGAAATGCCAGATGGTAAAACGCCATCACATCACATCAGGGTACGTGTTACTTGCCTGGTTTATCACACAAATTAGTCTCAACCACTTGGCTGAGGTCGAGTTTCTCAGGCGTTCCCCTGACCAGGTCACACTCCTCTTTCCACCACACGAGGCTTACTGTGTGCACCCATACCTAAATGGGGTGCTTGAATGGGGTGCTGATTTTTTCCATTAATAGTTGCAAAATTAAAAATAAATTTTGTATGGCATTTGGGTACCATTTTGGTTTGTTTAAATACAGGGGGAACCTTTGGAAAGTTCCCCCAATATGATGTGTAGTGCTTAAATCAATCAAGATATTTTTTCAGTGTAGATTTTTAAATAATGTTTGTTTTGTTTCTAGGTATGCAATGAAATGTCTGGATAAGAAGAGGATCAAGATGAAACAAGGAGAAACATTAGCCTTAAATGAAAGGATTATGTTGTCTCTCGTGAGCACTGGAGTAAGTATTCCATTTTGAGCATTGCTTGTGTGTGTGTGTTATATATCAGAACAACTTATTTAAAATACAGGCTTTTTTTCCTGGCAAATTATGGGGCTAGCCTATTCCTGGGTGGAATAGAATTTATAGCAAGGAGCAGCAGCGCTAAGTTAATATAAGTGTGTAATCCAAATATTGTCTAATTTGGGGGTTAGGAAGTACTAGCAACCATCGTACTGTGCCCATGACTTCTCCCATTAGTACCTGTTTATGGCTTCCTTCTGGCAGAATATGGTGCCAGAGATGGCAGAAAAGAATCACAGCATCATCAACAACAACAACAAAATCTCTTGAGTATAGTTAAGAATTAACTGCCTGACTGAGATGAAGTAATCCAGAGAAGGAAAAGTAACTCGCAGCTTTCATAAGTAAAAAGAAAGCAAGTGAGTTGGTTAATCAAATCTGAATGGCCCAGTTGGGGTTGTCCCCAGTAAAGGTGACTTTCTTGCACTGCTAATTTGATCTGCTGTGGGCTTTCACCATTTCCATTTCCAACTCTGTGTTTCTGCCCATTGGACATTTCATGTGTATGGCAAGCTACTGTGTTTTAGCTCAACATGTGTGAAAACAGACTTTTAATCCGTGCCATCTTTTCTTTCAGAATAGATTCCCATTCTCAATTCTTTTTCTGTTAGTGGTATTACCCAGGCTCTAAACCTTGGCCCTTACTTTATTTGTATACAGATGTGTATGAAAGTACATCAGGTAAATCCAGATCCCGGGAACCTGGGTGCCTGTGTGCATCAGCAGCCTGTCACCCAGTGTTCAGAAGTGGCTGGGGAGCTGGGATCTAGAAGGAGGTTGCAAAATGAGTGTGGAGGGGCTGAACCTGAGCTGTGTAGCCCACATGAGAATTCAGTTTTTATCACCCAGCAGGGACAATTTGTCCCAGCTGGGACATGGACATAGACATGGGGAGGATTTCCATATAGCTTATCTGGGTTCTCAATAAAGTCATCTTCACCCAAAGATGTAAAAGAATCACATTTTAAGATTTTATTTATTTGTTTTTTACATAGAAGAATGGGATTTAGGCCAGAGATGTGGGGGGGTGAGAGAATTTACCAGAGACAGAGACAGAGTGGGGAGCAGAACAGGTGGAACTATTGAAATACACTGCTGAGGGGAGCAGCAGGCAAGACAGGAGAGCTCTGCTGCACCATGTGGGTCGCGGCCAGAGAGGCAATAATGCTGAGACTTAACCCCTGGGCCACCAGGAAGGCCTCCAGGAATCAAATTTTAATGGTGAATCAAGAATTCTCTTTGACTGGTGAGCAAGGACCGGCATAGTAATCCTAGCCCAAAGTCTGTGGCCTGCACTCCCTGTACCCTCCCCTCGCCCCTTTATTGCCATGTTTCCATAGCACCACTTTTTTAAAAATTACCTTCATTTATTGTATGGTGGTTTATATTATTCTAGCGTTAATCTTAAGTAACTCTAGAGGGGCTATTTGTTACTTAAGCAAAAGAGTATAATAATTTAGCTCAACTGAAACAAATGAAAAGACCATAGAAATTATGGTGCCTCCTCCTCCCAACATGTGGCTAGTCCTCATTTCAAATGTGACCCAATCCTGTGTGTGACCTCATTTTTGACTGAAATGGAAACTGAGCAACCTGCTCACAGTATTGGAATCAGTATGAATGGCATTTACTTCTAATTTCTATTGTAAATATATTTGTCTTAAAATTTAAATGTGGATATGTGCTTACTACAGATTTAAGTGGTTACTAAAATACTGGTTTTTAATGAGTCCTCTCAAAAGTATTGGATATTTGTTAGCAAAAGAGCCCATGGAGAAAAATTTGCGGGTATTGCAAAAATATATGTTCAATTTTCATGCAGCATGTTTTATATTTTATTCTAAAGAGAGGGAATATCAGCAAGTAGTGGTGTGGTTAGTCACTGGTCTACTCAGGCAATAAATGAAAAATTGGAGTTATATCATCCTATTACTTTGACCTAATTTTTATTCAAACATCAAAACTGCTTTTTTTTTTTTTTTTTTTAGATTTATTTTGTATTTATTTATACAATAGCTGGGGTACAGGCCAGAGGCCAGGGAGGGTGAGAGGATTCACCAGAGACAGAGTAGGGAGCAGAACAGGCAGATGGACCAAAAGCACTGCTTAGGGGAGTAGCGGGAGAGACAGGAGAGGTCTGCTGCACCATGTGGGAATCTCCCTGACTGGCCAGGAATCAAACCTGTGCTGCAGAAGCTGCAGACAGCTTCTCAGCGCTGCGCTAACCAGCTGCACCACGGGGAAGGCCCTGTTTTTTTTTTTTTTTTTTTTTTAACTTACAAATATATTAATTTAACCAAAAGAATTATAGTAAAGCTGTTTGGAGTTTTTGCTAATCAAAGGCTATTGTAGCTTTTTGTTTTTTTTAATTGATCTTTTGATTGAAATGGCCTGGTGTGAGGGTAAGCTTTAGATTGCCCTGTATCAACATGATTTCCTAAGGTACTGCAGTCAGTTTTATGCTAGAAGATTTTTGTTCCCTTCCAGTCTCAAACTCAATATCCCCACCCCTCAGCCCCCTAAAGAGACAGTAAAAGTACTGTTTCCAGTTTTATTATGTAACCCTTAGATGGTCAGAAAGGACATCTGTGTGTGTGGGAACCAGGATTAGTGTGTGCACAGCTGGGAAAAGCAGCGAGCACCGTTGTGAACTAAGCCATTTTTGTTCAGTCCTATATTCCTTGAAGCAGAAAGCAGACCGGAGTGTCCAGATTGTGCCAGGCACTCAGTCACAAAAGTGGGGGTCACCCAGAGCTTGACTGTGTCCTTGCTTTTACAGGCCTGCGTAGAGTAAGAGAAGGTCATATTTATGCAAACAATCCCAGAAATGTACATGTGATCGGTGTGTGTGGGGAGAGCTGAGAGAGTCAGGCATGCAATGCTCGGAAGGCACCTAACACAGTGGAGATGTCAGGGAAGGCGCCTCTGCAGTCAGGGGTGCCAGAGTGTCTGCGTCCTGAGCACTGCAGGTTTGGGGGCTTGGGATGGCCAGCACCTCTGGGTTCTGACTGATGAGGTATAAAGTGGCACAGGAGGAAGCTGGAGAGAGGCAGGCGGAGGCCAGACCAGACCAGAATATAAAGAGCGTTCTGGGCCAGCACTGAGGATTCAGGAAAAAAATCATGCAACTGTTGGAGACCAAGCACTTGAAGCAGGAAGATAACATGTTCAGCCTTGCAGTTTGAGAAGATTGCTCTGGCTGTGCTATACAGGCTTTTTTTAAAGAAAGACTTCATGGCCTATTTTACCACCATTCTGCAAGAGTTTTCTGCAAAATGCAAGCAGTTTTGCTCCCTGCCAATAGAAAATCAAAGAAGACAGTCCCTTGCTTGCTGAGGAGCTTTATTTAAGGATCAACCTGCAAAAACCGATTCGTTCTTGTCTACCTTTCCTTTGTGATGAAGGCAGGCACATCAGCTTCACCAGAATTATCTTCGGTGCTGTACAGTAACATTACTAGATTGCTGCCTGTTGTTCCCAGTTGGTCAGTATTTAATCTATCGAATCTGAGTGAGGCATTTGCTTAGCACCTTGAGAGCCTGCAGCCAGTGTATTCTGTAGGTGCGAGCTAATCATATTACTCTACCTGAGCTTTTAATTTACATTGCCATGGAAACTTTGCTTTTATAGGTAGCAGAACTTAGAACTCTGGAGAGGGTCATAAGACTTGAGGTTTGGATTTTGGCTGGCTGTCAGATTTCTTTGTGGCTTCAGGCAAGTCATTTCCTTTTTTAGGGCCTTAGTTTCCTCATCTTTTAAAATACAGAACTTTGACCAGGTGATTCTTTTCTTGTTTGTCTTTTTCATTATCTGATGGTTAACTGTATTTCTTTAACTATAATTATTTTTATTTATTTTTTTTAAGATTTATTTATTTATTTATACAAGGACTGGGTACAGTCAGAAATGCAGGAGGGTGAGAGAATTCACCAGAGCCAGAGCGGGGAGCAGAACAGGCAGACTGATGAAATACACTGCTGAGGGGAGCAGCGGGTGTGGCAGGAGAGGTCTGCCATGCCATGTGGGACCCTCGCTGGTGGCCGGGGATCGAACCAGCACTGCAGAGGCTGTGGGCAGCCTCAACCACTGTGCCACTGGGGAGGCCCTATAATTATTTTTATTAAGGGAACATTTGTTGAGTACACTGTATGCGATTCAAGATAAAGGATCACACCTCCTCAGATGTGGGTCACCACACCATGCACACCAGGACACCCTTAATCTGCCACTAGAGTCCATGTGCCCCTCTTCCCTGTTTGCTCTTCATCTTCCCTTCCCTTTAGTTTGCAGTCAGAATTTCTAGGGTTTGTTTTTGGCTTGGTATTGTGTGACTCTTTGTTTTGTTTCTCTGTATTCCACACATGAGTGAAAACATCCAGAGTTTGTGTTTTTTCCTGACTTACTTCAGGTAGCATAACCCCCTCCAGCCCCATCCATGTTGTGCAGGTGGCTGCATAGTACTGCACTGTGTGTCTGCACCTCGGGTTCTGGGTCTCCTCACCTGTCCTCAGGCGCTTGGCTGTTGTGAACAGCGGGACAGTGACCCCAGGAGTGCGTACGTCCTTTCAAGTTACTGTTTTTGCATTCTTCAGGTAGCCTAGGAGTGGGATTGCTGGATCTGTTCTTAATATTTTGAGGAACCTCCGTACTGTTTTTCATGGGGGCTGGAGTAGTCGACATTCCCACCAACAGTGTATGAGGGTTCTTTTTTCTCCACACCCTCGCCAATGCTTGTTGTTCCTGGTCTTCTTGAGGTTGGCCATTCTCATAGGTGTGAGGTGGTATCTCATTGAGGTTTTGATTTGCATTTCCCTGATGATGAGTGGTGATTTTTTTTTTTTAAGAGCTCTTCATACTCAGATAGCTGATAATTCTAAAGCTACATTTCATGTGCCATCTTACTAAACAGTATCTTAAATTATTTCACCCTTTTGTCTTTATCTCGGAGTTGTGACTAGAAGGGTCATACACCATCACACTCAGAAATACCCCCTGGAATGGTCTGTTTGCCCCTAGATGAGGGGGAGCAGAGCTGCTGTCACAAGCTGGGAAAGATCCCATCTTTAATAAGTTTGGGGACCACTCGCTTCTCTGTTGTCCAGGTGAGCTGCTCCTCAGGATAGGAGCCAGAGTAATGCAGGGAGCGCTGTTAAGGAAGGAGCATTTGGAAAGGTCTTAGTGAAACAGGTGGGTTCACATAGGAAGATGCCCCCCACCCCCACCCACCCCAGGAAGGCCACGTAGTAGCTTTTAATAGATGAAGGATAGCGCTGTTATTTTTCCTATTTAAAGAAAAATAGATCTTGAAATCAAGTAAACACTAGCACCATGTCAACAAGATTCTAAGGTAACCATAAAAGGGACTTTGTAATTCATTCTGGAATAATTTCCGCCAGAAGATTTATAGAAATTGAGTTCAAGTTCATGAATCTATGTAGGAATGTGTTAAACTCAAATTTAGCCATAAGCCTTTAATATAGAGGTTTGAACAGCGTGAATTTTGTTGACAGATTATTCTGTCAAAACTTGAATATTTTCTGCCAAATTTAGTAATTCTTTGTTTCCGTTAAGAAAGCGTAATTGGATGTTCCATGCCATTTTTTATTTGAATCGTTGAATGGCAAAGTGCACACTGATAAAAAGACTCTAATTAGACCTAGTTGTGGATTAGCATAGCACTGGTGAATTTTCACAAGGGAACACATGCAGGAATGCAGCATCCGGATCAGGAGGTAGCAAGTTACCGGTGTCCCAGAAGCCTCCTGCCCCACACCCAGATTTCTGCACCACAGTTTAGCTGTGCCTGTGTTTTTTTTTTTGTTTTTTTTTTTACATCAGAGACCAAAGTGAATTTAATTTTATAACTATTCAACACATAGTTATTCAGTATTTGGTAGCACAAAGTTTATGGCCTTAGAAAAGTGAAAACAGGCTAACAGTTCTAACTATTGCAAAGCTGCAAGTCCACCATCTACTGGTAATTTTCTCAAATTTCAGTCACATGATTCTTGAAATTTACTGACAATTTAAGAAGGAAGTATCAAATAATTCATAACACTGTGATAAATAGCATCACTTTTCCATCATCACTTGAAATTCTTATTGGTTTCTAGCTGTGCCTGTGTTTGAACAGTGTTAAGTTTTCTCATTGGTGTGTGGCTGCTCTCATCCAGGGTTGCTTGTAGACTCACCTGTGGGTTTGCACATAGCATGAGGGCATTCTGAACTAAACACAGGTCCCGAGCTATGGGAGGCCCATGCACTAAATCTGGCTTGTGATCTTTCTATGTACAGGCCATGAACTAAGAATGGTTTATGTACTTCTAAGAGATTGTAAAGAAAATAAGCAAAGAAGAACATATGACAGAGAATGTATGGGGCCTGCAAAGCCTAAAATATTCACTGTCAAGACCTTTGTAGAAAAAGCTTGCTGACCCCTCCTCTGTGGTATTCCATGTGTAAATCAACAATTTATGGACTCATTCTACTGTTGATAGACATTTGGCTTATTTTCTGGTCTGGGCTGTTTTGATTAGTGCTGTGAGGAGCATCCTCGCGGCTTCTCTTGGTGCATGTAAGTACAGACTGCTGTGAGGATTGGATCCCGGAGTGGAAAGCTGGGCTTTAGGGTTATCAGGTACCATCAAATAGCTGGTGGAAGTGCCATATGTGGAAGTCCCATTTACTCCATACCTTTCCAACTTTTGGCTTTTTTTTCAGTCTTTTTAATTTTAACCATTCTTGTAGGTTTTAGTAATGACACATTGTGACTTTAATTTGCATCTCTGATCATGGGCTAGGCTTATGAGCCATTTGGTACCTCTCATCTGAAGTGTTCCACTTAATTATCCTTCTTGTTTTCTGGGTATTTTGGATTGTTTGCCTTTTTCTTTATTGAATTATTAGAGTTCTTTTTGTACTCTGTAAATGTAACTCCTGCGTGTGTTCATGCATTGCAAATATTTTCTCCCATCCTGTGTCTTAACTTTTTACCCTCTCAATGGTCTCTTCTAGAGAACAGTTCTTAATCTTATTTTAGTCTAGTTTATCAATGTTTTTGTGGTGGGCCTCCCTGTTGGCACAGGGGTTAAGACACAACCTATGAAACAGTCTGCAGCCTCTGCAGCATGAGTTCGATCCCCGGCCAGCCAGGGAGCTACCCACATGGTGCAATACGCCTCTCCTGACTCGCCCGCTGCTCCTCTCAGCAGTGTACTTCAGTCAATCTGCCTGTTCTGTTCCCCACTCTGTCTCTGGTGAATCCTCTCACCTCCCATACCTCTGGCCTATACCCCAGCTCTTGGATGCATAAATAAATAAATCTTTAAAAAAATATTTTTGTTGTTAGTGTATTTTGTGACCTGTTTAAGAAATTTTTAATTACCCTAAATATCAAGATATTCTCTTTTGTTTTCTCCCAATGCTTTACCTTTCATATTTAAATCTCTGTCTAGCTGGAGTTGACTTTAATCTATGATGTGAGGTAGATAGAGGTCAATTTCATATTTTTTTTTGTATAGAAATCCCATTGCTCATCACCACAAATGACTGATATCATCCTTTACCCCTGCCTTGTTGTCTATAACAAATCAAATGACCTCTTGTGTGTGGATCTATATCAGGATTCTCTGTTCTGTTCTATTTTCTATTTGTCTGCTTCTGAGCCATACACTGTCTGAATTACTGTTGCTTTATAATAAATCAATGTCTGGCACTTTTAAGTTTTCCAGCTTTGCTTTCCTTCAAGAATATCTGAACTTTTCTTGGCTGTTTATATGCACTATACATTTTAGAATCTGCTTGTCAATTTTCATTTTAACTAAGATTGCATAGAATCTATACTATAGCCTACCATGCAGAAAATTGACATCTTTTTGGTTAAATGCACTTATTTAATCCCTGACCATGGTGTATATTTCTTCTTTCAAAAGCTAACTGTATTCTCAGTTCAAGACAGTAATGCAGATGACATTTCCGCCTATAATATGGTTCTTTCCACTCTAGAATCAGAGATTGAAATAGATATTTGACAAATTGAACCAAAATGTAGGTCAACAAAAAGACTAGCAAGGCAGTAATTTTTCTGTAGAATCTGAATTTTTTGAAGATGTTGCCAATTGAATCTCAATGAGAGACCTTTGAGTTCATCTACTCCATTTGTCAATGTTGCAGCCCTCTGTGTTTTCATGTAACCTGATCCATTTATTCTGACTGTTGAAGTCACCATGCATGTTTCTGTACTCAGCGCTCAGGGTGGGGGCGTGGAAAAAATCCATAGATGGTGTTCAGTGGAGGATGTGCTGTTCAGGATGACTCTTGCTTTTCTTGTTAACTTTTGTTTTTCCACTCTAGGATTGTCCTTTCATTGTCTGTATGACCTATGCCTTCCATACTCCAGATAAACTCTGCTTCATCCTGGATCTGATGAATGGTAAACAAATCATGGGAAGTCTGAATACCCTGGGAGACTTGGCTGTGGTGTTAATGTTAGCATGCTTTCATCAAGGCCGATGGGCAGTTGGGGGCTTTCAGAATGCTTGTTAATTATCAGTTAAAATTCATTTTAAAATATTGAATGCAGTTTCCTTTTGACCCTCCTTTCCAGTCTCTCCCCAGGAAGTTGCATTTTCTAGAAAAGATTTTTGCAAAATGCTTACAGTGAAACTTGATTTTCTGGAATGCAGCTGGCATGCATCTTTAATTAGCTTGTTTCCTGACCCTCAACTTTTAGGAATGAGATGCTTAGAAGAATATAAGTCAAAGAAAGAGTGTATTTAAAATTCGACTTTGAAGAATTAACTTTGGGCCAGTATAGATTTTAGCCCAGTGTTCTGTGCCTTGTAAATCGATGAGAGATGACCCTGAAAATACTGAAAAATATTTAAGTAGGAAAATTGTTTTCCAGTAGTAAAAAGTGACATGCTATATAGTTGTAATATTTTTAGTAACAGGAACTGGATTAAAAAAAGAAAAAATTCAATGAATGAAATACCTAGTTGGTTTTGAAATTCATTTGAAGTTTTATTATGTTTTGAGTGTTTGATTTAAAATACATCTATCCAACAACATTAAGAAATTTCATAGACATAATAATGAACAAAGGAAGCCAGACGCAGCAGCATATATTCTAAGTGGTTCTATTTATGACTGTCAGAACAGGCAAACCCATTATTGGTAAGAGGTCAGAAAACAGTCCTCTTTGCTTAGGCAAAACCAGGAGCTGAGATGCTAACTGGAAAGGATGTCAGGAAGGCTTCTGGGATGCTAGAAATCTTTTAAATCTCGATCTCTCTCGATCACATGAGTGCGAAAAGGAAGATAGTTCAATAATTCAACATAAGCTTTTCCCTTATAATTTATAAATATACCCTCTCGCCCTACTGGTGGCTTTCTCTTTACCCCTAATTTTATAATACGGTTATTTCCTTTTTCCAACACTTCTTAACGGAAAATTTCAAACATGTAGCAAAGTTGAAAGAATTTTACTGGGGATACCAAATACCCCCCTGCATTTTACCACTGTACTTGCATTTATTTGTTTGTTTGCATTGCTGCCTAGATTGTTTCAGTTATTAGACAGGACTTTAGTGGGCAGAGGAGATTAGCTAATCCCTCCCTGTGCTGACAGCCTCCAGCAGTGGCTTTGTTTATGTCGTTCTGGCCATTGCTTCATTTACATCTTCTCAGTATTTATATTTTCTTTATAATTTTTAAGTGCTTTATCAAATGAGAGAAGTAAAAGATATTTAGCAAAGCAGAAGCACAGTTTGCCTTTTTCTACTGTGTCCTGCCTTTCTAGAATGACAGAGATTTGTGTCCTTTAAATTAACACACTTTGAATAAAATTCTGTGTTTTTGACTTAAAGGGGGTGATTTGCACTATCACCTTTCACAACACGGGGTGTTTTCCGAGAAGGAGATGCGGTTTTATGCCACTGAGATCATTCTGGGACTGGAGCACATGCACAATCGCTTTGTTGTTTACAGAGACTTGAAGGTAAGGGTGGTGGACAGATGCCATATTTCCTGCACCTGCGGGGTGGGGTCTGCGGTTCTGGGCCTCCAGGTGTGCCCTGCTCTGCAGAGTGTCCTGTCCTTGTCCTCTCCCCAGCCCTGACCAAGTCAGCTCCTGTATGACAAGTCAGCTCCTCCAGACTCTGAACTCTGTCACAGGAATGCCTGTCCAACCAAGTCGCCACTGTCCCCGCGTGCCTCTGTAGGGCCCACTCCATGCACACTCACCACTTCACTTTAGCTAGTTAATTAACAAAGAGCAGGGGAGCAAGTTTTGGGTGTTGCCCATTTTATAGTTGTTTGTCTTTCTTCCTTTTTTTTTTTTTTTGGTCACCACCATGTCAAATTTATTATTCAATGGCACTAATAACAGCTGGAGGTGCTCATGGTGACACCACACAAGGTTTCCTGCCTTCTAGCTTCTGTCCAAAGAGAAGTACCCCCTTTCTGGGGAAATCCACTCCAGGCCATCTACCCAAATAAACCTCTTAATGCATGACTGTGTTAGAACTGCAAATGTACAAAGACCACAAGCAAAAAAAAAAAAAAAAATGCTGATCTCACAAGGCTTAGTCATGGGTGAACCAAGAGAGAATGGCCAAGTTAGAACTCCCCTGAGGCAAGGCCAGTGTGACGGGGCGGCACTGCTGTTCCCCTGCACACTATGCCCCCCTCTCTCAGAGCTCCATGCTGTTTGGAGATTGCCTTAAAACTCACTCATAGATTTTCAGATCCCTGCGCTACATGGCCCCCTGACTGCCTGAGCTTCTGTTCTTGTCCTTAAAATCTCACTGGGCCAGAAAAAATGAACTAAGACTCTTCCAAGCTTTTCTGCTCTAGATCCTGGCACCCAAACCCCAACTCTGAATTGAGTGAGCTGGGAGTTTGCTTAATATATCTGAAGTGGCACTCATCTAGCCACCCATATGGGGCAGGGACGGAGATAAAGGAAACCTTGACAGATTAGAGAATGATCATGCAGATCTAATAATGAGAAGGAAAATGACAGGCTGACAACTTCCCAATAGGATGAGGAAGCTTCAGGAGGGTATGTTTGCCTCCCTCCTCAGATTCCTTCTTGAATCAATGCAAACAACCAAGTGAAATGTGCAGGTGATGTTCCTCTCTCTAAAGACTAGTATGTTTTGATTAGCTTTATAAGATTATTTTTAATTCTTTTTTTTTTAAAGATTTGTTAATTTATTTATTTATACAAGCACTGGGTACAGTCAGAAGCGCAGGAGGGTGAGAGAATTCACCAGAGCCAGAGCGGGGAGCAGAGCAGGCAGAAGGACCGAAGTACACTGCTGAGGGGAGCAGCGGGCGGCAGGAGAGGTCTGCGCGCCATGCGGGACCCTCCTCTGGTGGCCGGGGAGCAGCCGGGGATCGACCAGCGCTGCAGAGGCTGCGGGCAGCTTCGCAACCCAGCGCTCAACTGCTGCGCCACCGCGGAGGCCCAGCTTTATAAGATTATCTCCTAACAATCTATAGTATTTTATTTCACTTAGGGAAATTTACATTTTCTCAAGAAATACCTTGTGAATCTAAAAACTTTCTTCAAGGTTAAAGAATTGTTCTTTTAGTTGTCATAAGAGCGTAAAGAAGAAAAACGTGTATTTTCATTGAATTAGAAATAATTAGACACTGGGTGGCACATGACTTTTTATTTCCTTGTGCAAGTTTTGAAGAAGAAAGTGCCTGCTGAAGGCCCATGATATTCTATTGTATGCATTTTAATATAAATCTGTAACTAGCTTCTAATCATCTTTGTGCTGTATTTTTGTTTTTTAAGCTATTTAATAGGCAATGGTATTATTTAATTTCTATTCAAACTTAATTCTAGTTACTCATGATTATTCATGCTTCAATTTTGTAATAGCATGCCATTAGTTTTATTTCAAGCAAAACAATAGTTGATCTTCAGCAGAAAAATATTATTAAGATGACAATAATTTGGTGTATATTAGGGAGAGGAGCTTTGTTTTCCATGATTATGCTGACCAAATCTAATCTTAATGGATGCATTTCATCAGAGTTGTGGTCAAATCTGATTTGGTCATTTGCTTGGGCCCTGTGTTGATTATGTACAAATAACCAGAAAAGACATTTACCGGGATTAGTGTGGCACCAGTGGAATATTGAGATTTCTTAGGTCAGTACTTACACATTGAGCAAGAGCCCTCTCTGTTTTGTGCTTTGTGGTCTCATTCTCAGAAGTCCTCTGGCTCACATAAACCATGAGCACCTACATCTGCATCATAGATCTTACAGGGAAAAGGAAATGCTTTTAACTCTGATGAGCTGTGGTCATAACCCTCCCATGTTGCTTGTCCTGTGTTTTATTTGCTAATGAGCAGAATTCTTTGCTCCTGTGGTGCTCACCTTCCTGCTGAAGTTAACACGAAAAATGTGACGTTAACAGTTTTAGGAGTTCTCAAAAAGCCCCATGATTTTTTGAGGGCTTGAAAACCATCTCTCTCTCTTTTAGCCTGCGAATATCCTCTTGGACGAACACGGGCACGTTAGGATATCAGATCTCGGTCTGGCCTGTGATTTTTCCAAAAAGAAGCCGCATGCAAGTGTGTGAGTAGTGCATCGACTCTAACTCTACTATCATTTCTCTATCGAGGTTTGTTTATCCCTTCAGAGCCTATTGGGTCATTTCTTTCCCCCCTCCTTTTTCTTGCCAGCAGTGATTCTCAATATGTGAGAATGGCAGGTCAGGGGAATTCGCTGGTGGGAATTCCCCTGGGTGGTGGGAGAGAAAATTATAGCACCCTGAGGTGTTCCTTGCATGACCATGGTCCTTCTGGAGCTGGTGAACCCCCTTGGCTGGGCATGACTCAACTGCTCAGGCCAGGGTGGTGGGTGGGTCCTCCCACAGCAAGGGGCTGGGTGACTTGAAGTCAGTCAGTTTACTTCTTTGACTCTCGGTGTCTTTATCTATCAAGTAGAAGCAATAATCAATCCCTTCAAGGTGCCATAAGGACACAGGAAAACACCCGTGTGCCCCCGAAGGTGGAAGGCGGCTACAGAAACTCCAGAGAAGGCCCCATATATCAGGTTTCTCTCCATCTGCTTTTTCCTTCTTTTTCAAAATGCCTTTTCTTTCCTGAAGAGAAGAGGCATCTCTCCCCCCCCCCCCACACACACTTAATTAAGAAGAAAAATCATCTCTTTGCCATTCAGGCTCTCAGTGCAGGTCACATAGTTAGATTTGAATATCACATCAGTCCTCTAGTTGGCCACTGGGAGGAGGCTCCCTGACGAGCCCTGGCCCTCAGCACACCTGAGGTGCTCCTGGCCCTCAAGCTTGCTCAGTGCCTGGTGGCCCTGGCTACAGCTGCTGTGACCCTGAGGCAGCTGAGGCAAAAGCAGCTGTCTCAGTGCTCAGAAGAAGCAGAATGGAATATGTACTGGTTTTTGTTTCAGTTTTCTTTGGCATCAGTTTATTGGGTGGAGGGTATGGACATGTGTGAAGTTTGTGGAAAAGCAGGTGATTTTTGCTTCTTTTTTTTTTTAAATGTTTCTTTGTCAGCACTGACTCTTTTAAAGATAAATCTTTTTAAAGATTTATTTATTTATGCATACAAGAACTGGGTTATAGGCCAGAGGTGCATGGGGTGAGAAGATTCACCAGAGACAGAGTGGGGAACAGAACAGGCAGATCTACTGAAATACACTGCTGAGGGGAGCAGCGGGCGAGACAGGAGAGGTCTGCTGCACCATGTGGGTGTCTTCCTGGCTCCCCAGGGATTGAACTCATGCTTCAGAGGCTGTGGATAGCTTCACAGTGCTGTGTTTAACCCCTTGCACCACCAGGGAGGCCCTAAAGTTGTATTTTTAAAAGAATGTAAATTGTGCATCTTGAGCTAACATTCATCTCTGTGTTGAATGTTCTAGAGGAAACTCTCAGGAGTCTCATTGCATGCATCCATGCAGAAAATAAGCTGCAGATCTTTCTTTTCTGTGGGACTAGAAGTAACGTGGTTCTAAATGCAGTGCGTTATGAAGGGCTGCATTAAATCAGAACTGCCTCTTAAAGCTCTGATCAAATGATAATAGTCAGTAGCACCATTTCTGTAAATATGTTTCTCTACAGAATCTGGGATATGGTGATAAAAGCATTAGCATTTTGCCAGCACTTTGCAGTTATTAGGCCTGAACCTGTGGTTTGTATAAGCTTCTCTCAGGGAGTTCATCAGATGTTTTTTAAGAGAGTCATTTGAATTTTTAATGCCAAAGCTATTTGGAATGCTAATTTCTTCAATTTAGTGTGGTCACAGCTGAATATGAATCCAACAGCTCATAAGAGTTAATCTTCCAAAGGAATTAACTTTTGGATATTTGGGTTGTTTATTTCCTTATGGGTCCCAGCCCCCTTGCTGTAATTCACACCTCAGCCCTGAAAGTGGGCTGTTCACTTGCAGAACCTGGAAATAACAATATTTGAACAGCATCTGTTAAAGAGGTAGGATTGGGGTAGTTGGTTTCCATGTTTTAGTGGTGATGTGAGACACTACTTTAAAAAGATAGATGCATGATGAGGTACTATATTTTTAAGTAAAGAAAGTATGTTGTAGTGAGGAACAAAGCCTCTGAGTCAGCAGATCTGGGTTTGAATCTTCCTTCCAAGTTGTGCTAGTCTCACTTTTCTCCTCTATAAAATGGAGATAACAGTGATATTTACTTTTTGTGATAGTTGTGAGGGTTAAGTCAACTAATTAAGCAAGTATTTACCTAACGTCAGCTGTGTGCCAGGTGCCAGAGATGACCAAGACAGAAAGAATCCCTGACATCCTGGAACAGGCAGCCCCAGGGAACCATTCAGGAAGCAACCAGCACTCATTCTATCATCCGTCAAGTGTCAGCTTCCCCTGGCATGTGAGTCTGGTGCTGTGAATGCTTCCTCATCACAGCTGATAGTTCAATCACCTACTTTTTATGGTATGGAAACCAAGGTTCAAAGAAATTAAATAACTTAATAAACAAGGCCACAAACCTGGTGCATCATGTGGCTATAATGCAATCCCAGGTCTGTCTGACTCCAAAGCCTATGCTTTTATAGTGTGAGGCCAAACTGTCCAAGGCTTAAAATGTTAAGGATTTTTGGCCAGAATTTCAATCTGAGCCTGGCTTCTCAGCTTCTTTCAAAGCCATGGACGTCGTCCTTGGAATTCATCTAGCTCACCCATTTACAAAGTAGCCTCGTAGTTGAGGCTCCTGATCTGAGCTAAGACTTAGTCCATTTAGTCATAGAATCACAAATTTTTATAAACTAAACGTTAACCGTGTAGTAGCCATGAGAAATCAAACGACAACTTTGGGAGTTGAACATGTTGTCAGTGACTAATTTAAGTACCAGCTTATTTCGTCTAAGAACACAAAGCTGTGTCTCATGTCACAGTGTCTCAAAACGCTCCAGTGTTCTTTCATATTAATAGTAGTGCAGGTCTTCAGTGGGAGCCGTCAGGAAGCACTAGTAGCTGCTGCGTAGGCAGAATCGGAAAACCACAGCGTGGGTGGGTGGGGTTCTGCTGTGTCCTGTAGGAGCCCGAGGCCTGATCTGTTTTAACTGAATGTATTTGTCTTCACTGATATCTTCCCTTACCAGAACTGGGTTTTGATCCTGAGAAACACAGGTGGGAAGGTCACCACCAAGGTTTTCCTTTTCTCAACTGAAATCCGCACAGACAGTGTTCTGTCGACCCCTCATAGCAATCTCTGTGCTCTCGTGTGTCCTGATGACCGCACCTGTCAAGCTCTGGCTTATTGATGGTGACACTTTTCCCAGTGCTGGGCCTTTCAGGGTGACCAGCACCATTTTCACTGTTTTATTAAAACTCTTTGGCCACAGGTCTCTTAGACAGAGGGCACTGTGCCCGGGCTGATCCAAGACCATTAATGACCCCGGGTCATGTGTCTGAGCAGATTCTCACTATTTCTGAGCATGATCCAGTTAAAAATGATTATACTAAATTGAAAATAAAGATTATAACCCCTAACATGGATTGAGTTCCTCTTGTGTCAGCTCTATTCTGAGCCCATTCCATGTGCACAATCTCTGCACAGCAACCCTGGGGGATCGAGTCAACTGTTAAAGGCGCTGTACCCATTTATCAGTGAAGAAAATCAGTGAAGGCAGTAGATCTTGGCGGGGCAAGAAAGATGGTGACTTTTGCAGGGTCCTTTCAAGGCAGTGTTTTTCTGGCTGCCCACAGTCACCTCTCTCTTCAAGATGAAAGTGTGCACTCAGATCACCCAGGCGGGTGGACAGGCAGAGAAGCTGCGCGAGAACAAATGACGTGTAAAGTGGTTGTCTTCCCACCTGAGTTGTCTGAGCTTCCTGTAGATGTCTTTATATTACTTAGCTGAGTCCTTTTGACCTGTCAGCAAATTTTAAAATGATTCACTATTTCTCCATCTCAGGTAATTGTCAGTTATATTCCCAATTCTTCTTTGCCCCCTCGGGGGCTGTCACTCACTATGTAAGGATGGGGCCTGCCAAGGACCCTTGGCAGGTCCTCATCACAGGAGGGTGGAGCCCTGCCAGAATGGTTTTCCCTCCCTTCAAGGCCCATAGGATTATCCGTCTTCCACCCGGGACCCCTCTTGCTTCCCTTGCCTCCCAAGCCTCCCCAAGCATCTCTTTGTAAGAGATTTAAGAGCTTTACACCAGGCAGGCATCTTTAGTTCTTCAAAGCTGTGGTAGAGAAGAACTAATGAGATTCAGATTCTACCTCCTAGACTATGGAGCTTGCATTCTTCATGCTTAATTCTTACAGTGATTTATTTGTATTAATTCACATGCTAAGGGAGACAGAAAAGGTGGCTTCCCCTTCGGGTGTTCCGGGAGTGGTGTGCATGTGAAAGCACCCTTGTGCCCTCTCTTGTTTTCAGCTGCTGCTACTTGATGGATGGCCCCGACCCTGTGACACTGTCACCAGGTGGGCCCGCTCTGATAACTGCTGTACACTTTCTCTCCCTAGTGGCACCCATGGGTACATGGCTCCAGAGGTGCTGCAGAAGGGGACGGCCTATGACAGCAGTGCCGACTGGTTCTCCCTGGGCTGCATGCTTTTCAAGCTGCTGAGAGGGTGAGTGGAGTCCATCCTTTCAGTCCTGTCATCATGGCATGTGCTTGGACCAAAATCAAGAATATCTAGGCATGACTGACCTAGTCCTGTTTTAGATTGTACAGTGATCTTTGAACCACACCCACTGTCTGTCTTATAAAGATGGGAGTTTGTTTATAGACTAAAGCTTATGGCTTGATATTTTTGATTCATGCCATGTAGCAATTTTCCAACATGCTTACACCTAAAATAAGACTGCTTTGAAACATTTCCATTAACAAGCTTTATTTGGGGCATTGTTGTTTTAAATTGTGGATAATTGAATATGATAGGGCATCTTTTTTCACTAGAATTGTTTTATGAGTGTCAAACATTGGAATGGCTTAAAAAAAAAGAATCTATTTTAAGTGAACATTTATTTGTAAAAATGTTGAAATTAGTGTTTTTAAACACAAAAATGAAATTATATAATTTTGTGTTTTTACTTATTTTTTGTTGTATTTGACCCTTAATTCTAAACTACTAAAGTTGATGAAATAGAGTGGAAAGGTTATAGAGTAGAAGCACTCTCAAAATATGTTCTCATATTGAATACTTAACAGTTAGGTTAATACCTCCATTAATTTAAAGAATTTGTGTTCATTTTTAATAGCAATCTTAAGTTTTGAAGATGTTTTTGATTATTTTTCACTCACAACGCACTTCACATTAAGGTTTCCAATTCAAGATTCTCCCTCTAACAGTTCTCCTGTAAGCACAGGCCTGGCAGTTTGCTAAACCATTCACTGACCCATTGGAAGCCTCACTGAGTGCTGGGGCTTCTTCTCATTACATTTAGGGCAGTCTGAGAAGGAGCTGGGTTCCATCTCCTCCCAAACTAGATTCCAAGCCCCTCGCTGCTTCCCCAGGACTCTCATAATCCAGTTGTTCTCTGCTCACCATATTCACTTGGGAAGTAAAATTATATTATTGCTTAGAAAGTCAGGTCCTGTTAGTTCCAAATCGAATTATTGTATTTGTGGAGTCTGGATGGCTTTAATTTATGTCATCAGACTAGCTGACCGAATTAGAGAGTTTCTGCAAAGCACACCAGAAAAACACACTTCCCGCAGGAGATGCTGTCCACCAGGGGGGCACTGCCTGCTGCATGAACAAGAGAGTCTTGCCAGGGTGTGGATCTCTGCTGGAGATGGGATTGGAGATGTAGAACCCGCACTGACAGGATTTTGTGATGATAAAGCAGCTAAAATGATGACTGCATTTAGCTGAAGATTCGACAATCAGTAGTAAAACATAGTTTACAAAGCCTTGTATTTACTTTAATCTTATTATTCTGTTTATAATAATGTCCATGCATTAAAAAAAAAAGACAACCCCAAAGTGAATCCATTTTTAAAATGTACATTTATTTGTAAACATGCTGAAATTAGCGTTCTTTTAAACACAAAAATGAAATTGTGTATAGACTAGGAACAGTCTGGCATAACCCTAGTTTTTAAAAAGTCTGAAGGTTTGTTTGATCGTGAACTCTGCACAAGGTGTGAATTCCACTATGAAGTCCTTATTCAGGCCTCAGTGTGGATCCTGGTGAGAGGAGACTGGCCACTGGCAGTGAACATGAGAACAAGACAGAATGAGGAGAGGGGTGGACGAGTGAAAAGTCATGTCTTACAAGGAAAGATCCGAGGAGTCGTGTCCAGGATCAGAACTGTAAGGACTGACTCTGCTCTCGGAGGCCGTCTCCTCGATGGCATTGCATATTCATGCTGTGTAGTGCCAGGGTAGGCATTTTAAGGAGAAAAAAGATTCCAGGGTGACAGTGAAGGAGTGTTGTGTCTGAAAGATAGCAAGGCCCCATCAGTGCCTGTTCACCATCTTTGCTGAACCTGAAATAGAATCTAGTGTGTAGTAAACAGGATTAGAGGAATCTCAATTACTTGCTAAGATTGAAGATCTTAGGCTATTCTTTTTGTTACTTGTTCAGAAGTCATTTTCAGGAAAGAATATGGGACTTAAATCCAAGAGCGGGGAACTTTTTTTGACTTAATGATTTAAATCAAATTTGCTAAGCATTTATTGAGTAGCTACAATATGCTGGAGACTGGGCTTGATGGTGGAAGCAAGGGAAGGGGAGATGGAGGGAGGGAGGAAGCCATGGGCAGGCCTTCAGGAAGTGGCAGGAGAGGAGACAGATAAGCATAGAGTTGATTATGGGTCAGAGGACTCTGCTGACTGATGTGACAGCAGTGTGCCAGGGAGCAGAGCTACGGGGTCACCCGTGCTGGCAGAGCAGCTCCCACTTCCTGTTGGACAGGGTGTGGGATGCAGGCTTTGAAGGCAGAGCAGATGGCCATCGAAGATGGGGGTGCGGAATAAATATGTTTGCTCTTGGGGAGAGGCAGAATGAAGAAGTACCTGTGGGTGATGGGTCAGCGTCTATCAAGAGGCAGAGGGTGTTTTAAAAGAGAAGTTCGAGAAGGTGGGGTCCAGACTGGGGCAACCCCCTGGAGTTGGGGCTTTGTTTTGGAGTTCCCTGAGACTGGTGGCTTTTAAGCAAAGGAGGGTCACTGTGGGCTGTTTTCAGTGAGGGGATTCTGGCAGCAGCGTGGAGCTGGAAGGGTGGGGTCAGGCAAAAGGCATTGGACACTGGGCACCCTCATGGGACCAGAAAGGAGGCAAATGACTTGATATTAGAAGGTTTGAATTGGTAAAGCTACACTGATTTTTGGTTTGGGGCTGTTTTTGATGGGTGCTTGGATGTGAAGGAAATTAAAGACTGTTAAAGACGGTGGTGGTTTCAGTTCAAGGTAATTGGTAGGTAGGTGATAGCATTATCAAACTCTATCATAGAATGTGAGTGGTTCAGATTAAACTGATGCTTATTGAGGGCCCTTCCGGAGCCATGATTGGTCCTCTGGAGATTGGCCTTGCTTTGGAGCCTTCTTGCCTTCAACCTTAAGCAAGAGACAAAGGCACCTGTTCTGCTTCACACAAGGTTGCCTGTGGGAAAACCTCAAAAATAGGCTTAGAAGTATCTTGTATGGTTTTCATGTGCCACATAGTGGGGAGCCCTGAGCAGCTGTTTTTTTTTTAATCTCAGATAAGAGGGTTTTAAGAAACCAAAGTGAGTAGAGCAGGGGTGAGGAGGAAGTGCAGGACTCCGTGGGTAGTCTGGGGCATGGCCTGGCCCCTCTGTCCTGATGCTCTCATGGGGCAGCCACAGTGTCAGTCCCTGCAGAATGAACCAGATGCCGTGCCAGCCACTGCCTAGCAGTTCAGTTTTACTCAACCCTGGGACATGCTTAGCAATGCCAAGAGACATTTTGGTTGTCACACCTTGGGGTGGGGCTCCTAGGGGATCCAGCAGAGAGAGAGACCAGAGACAAACAGCCTGTAATACACAGGACCGCCTTTGCTGTCCCAACAAGGAGCCTCCTGGCCCGGAAGTCAGCAGTGCTGAGGTTGAGAGACTTTGCTCTGCATTAGTCTCTTCCCCTCACTCACACATCATGCAGGGAGGACAAGTAGTGGTCACCAGAGGTCTTTGTTGCTTTCATTTTCTGTTATTGAATACTTCTTGCACTGACCAGTATGACCCATTGCTTTTGCACCCATTGACCCATTATGACCCATTGCTTCTGCACCCACTTCCCTATACTCCTAGTTTGTCTTCATCCCTAGAATAATAAGCTACACATTGGAAAAGGAATCAGTGTGAAGAAGTTGTCAGGGCTTCAGAACATAGCTCACTTCCCTGGATTCACAGCACCAGACCAGGCCATATGTGTGGGTGCTGATCACTCCTTCAATTTCAGATGACTTTGTCAGATACCTAAGAGCACCTGTGCATAAGGACATGTCCATGCTAAAATGTGTGGAATTGCTGTCATGGCTTTCAATCTAGATTTTAGATGTCTGTCAAGGAAAAGAATTGAGGAGATAATAGCCTTGATCTTAAACTTGTCACCACCGATTTGTCTGTCTCTGGAGGCATCAGACATGAAGAGAGAGCCTGGATGTTGATTGGGAAAGTAGAGCCCCATCTCAAGTTACTGAGTTTGTTCCATGTGGGGGAAAACAGGAATGTTTATAAATATTTTGACAGCTATTGGCTTAGGTTCAAAATGCATATTTGATGTAACGTGCATTTTTGGTATTCTAGAGTTAATTCTTGATGTAGGAGTTTTTAATCTGTTGTAATTATAAACGTATTGCTTTTGAACTCATTTTTCACTGTGAATGTGATAGGTTTAATGTGGGGTGTGTGTGTGGGGACGTGTATACGTGTGTTTTTATGTTTTGTGTATGTGCTACCCCCCTCATTTGGCATATCTTGAACAATCTCCCAAATCCTTTGAGGGAAATTCACAGCCTTCCCACTCTGTCTATAGTTCAAAAGTCACACTTGACCACAGCACGGTACATGTGAACTGTGTTCCCATCGCGTTCCTGATGCAGCCAGAATGGTGCCTGTGCTGCTGGGAGGACTTGGCTTGTATTGTAAGCTGTTGACAGGCCTGTCGCTGTCTCCTATTTAAAGCGGCTGCTTCGGGGAGCAGCTGTGATCACACAGGATCTGTGAGCACCACGTGCCTCACTCAGAATGGAGATCATTACTATCGTAGGTTTTCTTTAACATTTTCCAAAATAGAAACAGAATCTTTGGTTTTGTTGACAAAGAATAATCAAGACTACATTGGAAACAGATGTGCATCAAGACTTTAACTTGAAAGACCAACTTTCTCAACACTACAGCATAGAATTGAATAGCTGAAAAGCATTTCCGTTAATTGCTCACTGGGTGGGACATGCAATAGCTATATTTATATAATGGGATTTGTAGTGATAGTGCCCATGTGCTGGAAATGTTTTTGGCACCACTAACTTTAACTCCAGGCCCCCTGCAAGTCTCCCTCTGGTCTCATGAAAGACTTTTTAAATTCAGTACAGAGCTCTTCTGTCAGAACACAGCGGCCCTTCTCTCCAAGTGTCAGGGCACAGCCCTTTCCTTCCGGTGTCAGATGCAGGCAAGCCCACGGGGGTCAAGAGCAGGAATGGGGTCCTCCAGCTTTGTGCACAGGAACCAAATCAGGAGGATTTGCCAAACACAGGGAGATCTTCAGATGATCCTATTTTATATGTTAAGGAACTTTTTGAGGTGGGAACAGCCAAGGGCCAAGCACCTAGTAAGATTTAAGAAATTTTCATTCTTTTTCTCTTGAGCCATGAACACATTACTATCTCTACCTTTTGCATACCAGTAGGATATGTTTTTTAAAATTATATCTTATAAATAATACATAGATAATTTTTGTTGTTATGTCTTATTTGCTGTTATTTTACATTTTCCTCCTTGGAAACAATCAAGGTGAAAAGAATATTTTCAAAGTCTCTTTTGATGATTAGAGTATGTTTGCTTAATACTAATTCACTTGTTTAGATTATTTTCCAAATTAAGGCGTTAAATAGATAGAGATTGTTTTGTATTTCCTTGCACAAGAAAGAAAGTGTTAGAGTGCCCTCTCTTGTACAAAATGAAAATTAAAGTACTTAAGATAATAAATACTCTGAACTGTAGTAATTTCTTTGGGAGGTGATTCAATGCAACACTTAACTAATTCAGTGGGATGACCTGATCAGGAGCAGTGAGTGCAAGGATAAATGGAATTTATTCCTTTTTCTAAATCTCATTGATTAATTAGTTCAATATTCTAATCCATTTCATACAGTTAACTTTAAAATATTTTACACATATTTCCTCAGATGTTATGTATGCCTTATAAATAAAGCTATAGGACTAGTCATTATAGCTGTGTCTTACTGTAGGAAAATTTAAGCATATCTATCCCTTCTTTAATTTTCAAATAAATAAAGGAGATGGTTACATTTGCATGTTTAGTGTTCTATTCTAATAGTGAGATTTCCTTTAAAAGCCAGCTTCTCTAGATTTTTAAAAACATGGTAGAGTGAAAATAACTCTTTTATGTAGTTTGTGAATTGGATATTGATTTTATAAAGTAAGACTTGTCTTTATTAATTTCTGCAAAAATGATCATTGTGTTGGACACCTGATGTAGTCTGCTGTCTGGGCTCCAGCATGGATACATTATTTAGGTAGTTCTCTTCACCATGTCTATGAAGTGTGTGGCATTATGCCCATTTTGCAGATGAAGAAACTGACACTGAAGTGTGTGTGACTGGCAGAGCCAGTAAATAGCCATGGCACAACCTGAATGCAGGTTTCCTGACTCTGAAGTCTGGGGTCTCTGTCCGCAAAACATGAGTGAACAGGTCTCAGCACTGGCGGGGTCTGGTGGCAGCACATGGTCAGTTTCTCTTATCATCAAAGGAATGAATGGGCGGGATGCTCCGAATGGCTGGCTTCTGCCAGGGTGGGACCTGCCTGTCTTGGTCATGTTTTGATTTGACTATAGTTCTGTGTTGGCTGGAGGGATCAGTTTTCATTTCACTAAAAAGAAAATAAATTGTGTGAAAGTTATTATTATCTCAAACACTAATTGTCAGATGTTATGTAAATTGCTTTCATTTCCATAATAACTTGTTGGCTAATTATTTTTTCTAATGATATTTTAAAATACCCACAGCATATGTTTATTAAAGTGCATTTAGTGCCACGATTTCACTGAAGTGAAGATTAAGCAGTTCAAGTAAGATGTAAGCCTTGCTCTTTCAGGACTTAATGTGCCTGAGCATCATTTTTTCTGTGGAAGTGATAAATGCTTTATGGCTTTTGAATTCCCATAATTTTGAATGAACAGTTTCAGAGCACAGTATTTCACACAAATATCAGTCAGTGCTGTGTGCTAACTTATCTGATAGCATATTCTAACACAGTGTCCTTTGTTTCTACAGTCACAGCCCTTTCAGACAACATAAAACCAAAGATAAGCATGAAATAGACCGAATGACACTCACCGTGGTAAGGAGATTAAAAGCTAATTTTATTCATAATGTAATTTCATGTTTCATTTTGTTATAGCCCATGTGAAAATTTGCTCTCTTAAAATAAGTGGATGGTACCATTACTAGAAGAATGTCAAAAGAAAAATGAGTGGAAATAGTTGCTAAGGCAAAAATCAAGATTTGCTAATAAGAAAAAAGTCATAGAAAATCAAAAACAAAACTAAAGAAATTAAATAAAAAAGGAAAAATTACTGAGATGTAGAAAAATGAGGAAGGCTTTTGAGTCTTCTGATCTGGCCTTTGATTGGGTTTGAAAATGTTTAAATCAAAGAAGAGATACTGCTGACAAACTAAAAGCTCTGCCAGAGGACTTTATCCTGAACGGATAAACAGTGCCACAGACAACGGGCAAGAGAACCCATGTTTCTCATGAAAGGGAAAGATTCAGATGAGACAGACTTGGTGCTGGCGAAAGAGGCAAACATGACGTGTCCTCAAACTGTGATGTTTTTATGAAGAGAGACTACGTTCGTATCCAGAAGATGAAGCTCAGTAATTGTATGTGTTGCTCTTTATGTATATATATTGCTCCGTGTGTGTGTGTGTGTGTGTGTGTGTGTGTGTGTGTATGAGAGAGAGAGAGAGAGAGAGAGAGAGAGAGAGAGAGAGAGAGAGTGTAAAGTCTAGGTCTTGGTTTTTTTTTTAATTTATTAGTGTGAAGAAATAACTACATTCTAACAACAATCAAGTCTGATAGGTTCATTCTGAAGCAGTCCTGGGAGAGTTGTTGGAGCTGTTTGCATCTATAGCACTGGTTAGTTTGAACAAATAAAAGAAGAGCTTTCAAAAAAATGTTTAGTGACCTCTTTTATGTTTCTTTGGAGTAAATATCAATCCGTAATGAATCTGCAGTTTTTAACACTCCACTTATCTTAGGAATGGCCTTTTAATGTGGTTGGCTGTGAGGGCACCATTTCCAGGCATGCATTTTTGAAAACATGCATTTTTCACCCCCTAGAACGTGGAGCTCCCGGACACCTTCTCCCCTGAACTCAAGTCCCTTTTGGAGAGCCTGCTCCAGCGAGACGTCAGTCAGCGGCTAGGCTGCCGAGGCGGCGGGTAGGCGGCTGTTTCCCCTCTCAGCATCTTTACCTGGGGAGCAAAAGGTTTCTTTTCAGTACATCAGAAAATCATTCCTAGTACTTGAAGATCTTTCGTGTAGATTTAGGGGGAGAGAAAAATCACGTGGGAAATATGTATGACACCCAAAACGTTTTTGTAGTTAATAAGTTGAAGGAGTCCCTAACTTTTTAACTGTAAAAGTCACTCGTGTAGGTGATGGAAATGAATTCTGACATTTCATTGTTCCATGGCTACACTCAATACACTGTGATTATGACAGTTTACTATTCTGACCAGGTCCCCACATATTTTCTCTCTCGTATACCTGACTAACTATCTTATGCTTGCTTTCTGTCCCCTGCCCTCCTGCCAAAGCCACCAAATGACAATAGCAAAAATCCCTCAAACAGCAATCTATGGAGAATTTACAGAAAAAGACTGAATACACATCTTTCCCCTATTTCTTTCTTACATAATGCTCTTCTTCCCAGTCCTAGGCTTGCTTTCAATAAGAAACAATCTTCACCTCTGTTATATATATGTTTGTCACATATGTCCTATCCGTGTGTGTGTTTTGTAGAGTGATATATTTTAGTATAAGCATTACATCTATGTACATGTGTATAGCTGAATAATGTGCTTACGTCTATATTTCCTTAATTATTATTTTGGGAAATCACCTGTTCCTGCTGTACAGGTGTATATTTAGCCCACTTACTACTCTTTCTATATCTTCCCTTTCTACCACCCATCAAAAGACTTGAAACACTGGTTTTGGTTCCTCTTTTACTTAACCTTTGTAGCTTTAAATTATGTATTTACCCAGTTGTGCCTTGTTCCACCAAATATAAACTGTATTTGTTGAGTCCCTATTTTATAAATAGTGAGAGTTTGGGCACTCCTGTCTTTCATTGTCTGCCTCGTTTTTGTCCTGGTTAATTTTCATTTTTATATTGTCAAGTTGAGACTGTTTACTCCCTATTCTGCAGTCATAATCTATCTTTGTGTTTTGCATATAGGCAGATTTCACAGGTCATAAATGAATTAGTAGTATTTACACTATAGGGCAATACAAATGTTCATTAAGCAGTCTCTGCATGGCCTGCTAATAAACCTTAAGTTAGTTATATTTACATAGGAAATGTGTGTGTGTTTGCATATCTATATTTGCATAGAGATATAAATTTTAAAATACCTATCAAAAATAATTTAATACTTGTGGACTTAATTTTCTCCTGATTTTTCCCTTACGAGGAACTCAACCTACCTTCCCAGTGAGAGCTGAGTGCTCTGTGTATGCTAATCAGCACTATCCCATCGGCTCTTCCCTTTCTTACTCTCCAGGTTTAAATCTATCAGTTACTTGGTCTCATGCACTCTTGTTTCTGGGTCTTCCACATGTTAGCTAGAACATGTTCCTTCCCAAGTAACTCTTTGAGAGAGGAAGTATGGAGGCAAATGTGCTATTTTCCTCTATTTCCAACATGTCTTCCTGCTGTCCTCAAACTCCATCACTATTTTGACTGAATACAGAACTTTGAATTGATACTGACTCCCGCCCCCCACCCCCCACCTTTGAAGCTATTGCTTTGCTCATGCGAACATTTGGTATTGGTCATGGGACTCATGGAAGGCACATTGGGGTCCCTTTCACACAGAAGGCTCATGCTCTTCAGCTTGGGGAACATCCTTCTTTTATTTCCTTGACATTTCCTCTCCTCCATTTTGATGGTTAACTCTTACAACTCCTGTTAATTGGATATTGGGATTTCCAGTTTGGTCTTCTCTGCCCCTGGCCTTGTTACTAGCTGTGTCTTTGATTTGATTTATTGTTATACTTTCCAATAACTTAAACCCTTTAACTGATTACTTTTTTAAGTTAACAACTTTAATTTCTTAAAGTAGACCCTTTCAGATGTTTTTTTCCCATTAGAATAACAGCTGCAGGTGTTTGGGGATTGGCTATAGGGGGAGAAAGTATAGCATGTTAGGTGCTTCATATTTCTACCTTTTTATCTTGCATGATTTGTCCACATTTGTTCTTTCATATGTAAAATCTCTGGTTTAATTCTCACTTAAATTTGTTCTCATGATTACAGGACTGAAATACGTGGGGGTAGGGGAGACGTTTGTCTTAAACTGGAACAAACATCCCAAGTAAATTATTTATAGGATAGCATTCCTAGATTCAGGATGCAATATTTCCTATGTTGCTTTGAAAGAAGTATATTTACTTGCTTTCTTCCAGAACTGGAAGTAGTTCCTCTGTGTTCTTAAATTTTTATGAACGGTTTCTTAGATTTCCAGATGCATCTTACCACTGTTATGTCTCTTTCTTGAACAGCACACAGGAAGTGAAAGAGCACAGCTTTTTCAAAGGCATTGACTGGCAACAGGTCTACTTGCAAAAGGTACTCCCTCTGGGCCCCACTGGTACCAGAGCCTGGTGCTCTCTGTCCCTCTACTCACTGATGGCTTCCTGGTTCTGTCTTCGGGACCCTGACCACAGGGCTCTTCTTGCTATTCTGTCCAAGTTTTTCCATACTTTTGGAAAAAGTTTAGAAATATCTTCTCCATAAATTCATAAATGGTGAAGTGGAGCTGTTATCTAGCTAATGCAAATGTCTGTGTAGTTGAAACTTTTTGAGTTTTAGTTTATCTTCTTATCTCAACATACAAGTATTTTTATAAGGAGCTGTATAAAAACATATGAGAAACGTGTCATAAATTCACATACACTTTCTAGCTCACTACCACATAGTTTAAGAATTAGCATGATTGGATAGCAGCATATTGCATTTTTATTTAAAGCTTTTTAAGTACTCTCCTTGATACAGCAAAAAGCCCCAAATTAGTGTTATGAAAAGTTGTGGTTTTTTTTAAAGATTTATTTATTTATTTATACAAGCACTGGTACAGTCAGAGGCATGGGAAGTGAGAGAATTCACCAGAGCCAGAGCAGAGAGTAGAACAGGCACAGTGACGAAGTACACTGCTAAGGGGAGCAGTGGGCGGCAGGAGAGGTCTGCACGCCTTTATGAAAAGTTTTGCTCATCAGCTTTAGACTAATTTTTGCACGAACTCAGAATGGTTATCTGTTAGTCCTACCTGAGGGGAGGTAGAGGTGGAGCCCTGGCTAAGTGGGCACCGAGCTCAGGTTTGTTTATGGGTGCACAGTGTTTCTCCCAGACCTGTGGAATATGAAAGCCCCACTGGTTGAACGTGGTGGCTCATTGTCGAGAGAACATGCTTTCCTGGAGTTGAGCTGGGGCCTCTTGAGATTCCATTGTATTTTATACTCACTTAAGACTTTGGCATGAGTCTTTTCCCTCCTTCAGTTGTCTAAAATCTGGGGTCTTCCTTTGGGGCCACGCGGCACATAAGCCCACCTGTGAATGAGGCACTGTGGCGTAGGCACTGGAGTGCAGCATATCGCCTGCTTGCCGTGTGTCCTCTTGACAGATGACAGGTTGGGGTAGGGCTGTACGATCATCTGATAACTGAATTATGCTTCTTTGGGCCTTCCAGTACCCTCCACCCTTGATTCCCCCCCGGGGAGAAGTCAATGCTGCCGACGCCTTTGACATCGGCTCGTTTGATGAAGAGGACACCAAAGGAATCAAGGTACACATGTTTGCTTTCATTTTTAATTTTGGAGGTTGAGGGATTTTTTTATTATTGTAAACCAAGGTTAGTGATTGTGTTAGCATTGCTCTGTTTATGGAATGCAGCTTACAAATGGGTAACTACGTATTTGAAGACTAAGTCAAGGACTTGAAGTAGTTAGGAACAAAAAAAAGTTATCTTTGGACTCACAATTGTGTTTGATAAACTGAAAATGGTCAGGTTTTGCATTAGATATATTTGAGATTGAAATGAAACCTGAACGTATATGAATCAGGAAAACACAACTGTGTGAAAGCAAACATACTTCTCGTACCAAAGAGCCAGTCATTTAATCTTTCTAAGTATTTAGCTCTCTCTTTGTTTGGATGGAAAGAGCAAACAGCATGAATCATTTTGCATTTGTCAATCAGAAGTGAAATAATCACTGTTTTTTTTTATACAATCCTCTGCATTTTTCAAACTTTTGTTCATGTCATTATTCTTCCAAGTAGACAAGGCATAATTACAGATGGTGAGTCATGAGAAAGAAACCTCCTCTTCGGGATTCTAAGTCAAAGTGTATCACTACATGTCAGGTTCACATCTGCCCCCACCTTCCCAGCTTCCTCCAGGATCTCTCCACTCCCCGTTAGATGCTCCCTGTGTTTTCTCAACTGCCTGCATTTATACCCTTTCTACACAAGCCCCTCATTTTTCCTACCAAGTACCTTCCCCCTCCAGAAGATTGTGATACTATGACCATCATCTGTAAGGTGTAGCTAAGAGAGAGACTAGAAAAACACAATGATCTGGCAGGGACTATCCCTAGAGACACCTGAGACAATAGGACATGGAGACAGAGATGGTGGGTAACTGACTGGAGACATGAAGATTGCTGGGAGGTTACGCAGCCATTGAGAGGAGTGCGAGGAGGCCCAGTACAGGTGGAACTGAGGAAGGGGCTAGTGGTTGGTCAGAGCTAACAGTGACAGGAAAGGTAACAGTGAGTCAGAAGGTGGCAGAGATATTTGCAGGGTCAGCTTCCCAGGAGAGGGAGGTTGGGTGAAGGCAAAATGGAGGAGACAACATCTGTGACCTGGAGCAGTGGCTCTCCTGGGGACAGCAGTGTGACCAGTGCCCAGATGTGTGTACCAGCAGGCATCACCTGTAACCTGGACAGCCCCGTGCATGTCAGGTGTGTGAGCTCCATTCGACAGCTATGTTTTTCAGACAGTCCATTTACCAAGTGCTTTTGGTGACTAGACTGTGGCAGGAGAATGCCATTACAGTAGACTTTATCATCAGGTGTACTGCTGCCTCTCAGAAGGCACTGCTCTCATGGGGAGTCCATGGGGATTTTTGATGTTTGAAAGATAGTCTCATAGTTCAAGTTTTGTCAACCATAATCTAAGCTTTGGAGTCAGACAGAGGGGCTCAGATCTGTTTGTATTAGCTGAGCAGAATTAAATAACCTCTTGAGCCTTGGTTTTCTCACTTGTGAAGTGAGTGGGTTCATGGCCAAGATGTCTGCATCTGGATGGGATAGCCTGTCTAAGCATCTGGCTTCCATCAGAGCTTCTCTTATTGTGGCTTTGGTTCCTGCACAAAAGCCAAGATAGGATGCTCTGTGAGCTTGAGTGGCATGTGACAGTGGTTTGGTTCAGTGCAGGTGAGGAGCCTAGGGCCTGGATGGCTAGCCCAGCTGGCAATATGCATTTTAGGGAACTATCTTTATCTTTAAAATAAGCAACCTCAAAATTGTACTTAAAAAGAAAAAGCTCGCCTTGCATTAGTGTAGATTTTCTTCTTTGTTTTATGCATTCATTTTCAAAAATATAGGCCATGTCAAGGGTTTCTGAAATTGTGGGAAGTAGAGTGGTTTGGATACAAAGCAGAATCTTGACCATTTCAGAATAACTGCTTGAAAAGAAGTGTTTTTACTTTTGTCACATTCCAGAATCTGCTCCAGTGTCCATAATTCCAGCCTCAGCCTTCTCACGACCCACCACATGGCACTAATACATAGAGGGGCACACACTTGAGTGTTCACACCCAGAATAGCCTAGGGTTTGCGCTCTAGGTATAACTCGGGCAGCCGAAGGAGAGTGAACAAGGAGAGACCCTGTGAGTCCAAGTACCTCAAGTCCACACATTATTCTAACAGGCCAATAACAGGAGCTGGGGAAGCCAGATTGGGATCTGGCGTGCAAGTTCTTCTGGTGTTTCATTGATTTGCTGAAGGTCTTGGGCAGTTCCTCAACCTTGCTCTTCTTCTCTTTCCAAATAACTTGCATGTTCTAATATCTGTCTACATTCATCTCCAGGCAAAGGAATGAGCAAATCAAATTTCCAAAGAGATTTGTGATTTGAAAGACAAGCATGTTATCTTCTATCAGTAGGGTTGCTAGCTTTTCTGCCACAAAGCTGTAGCTCAGATGCATAAAACCATTTTCTTTACTCATCTGCAGAGTCTAGCCTCCTTTACAGGAAAGAACTGAGACTTTTGAATAATAGTTCGGAAGAAAAGTGTTACCATTAGGTAATTTTTATTACAGCAACGCTTAAAGTTTCCTCACTTAAGTTTCCTAAGTCTTCATGTTATTTTGAGCTTCACCCTCAGGCATTTGATTATACTATTAAAAGATTGGACAGTTGGAAGTTTCATGAGATGAATGGTTAGTTCAGCCTACTTCACCCTCTGGTTTTCTCACTTTCCAGATTGATTAAGTATGGTTAGGAAGCCCTCTTGGTTACTCCCTGGTAATTGTTTTTAAAACAACAGGGGTCTCTTTCTCTACATCTGCAAATAAAATATTCTCACCATAATTGAAATTTTATTTTGTTATCAGAATCCTCTAGTATTTCAAGTAAACCATCCTTACATGTTAGTTAGTTTCAGTGCAAAAATGTAAGGAAGAGAATATGAAAAATGGGTAGAAATTAAATAACCCAAGACTGACAGCAAAGTGTTCACCAGTCATAGCCATATGTGGATCCTGGTTGCCTGATTATCACCAGCAGAAGTTGACGAGAATTAATCAGCTATGTCCAGATGATCATATGTTGTCCCCTGGCTACCTTTCTACATACAGTTTTAATGATCCTTTTGAAGCTGTTGCCTTTGTATGTATGTTAAATCATAAATATCTCGATTTCTTAAAATCATCAGCTTCTTGATTGTGACCAAGAACTCTACAAGAACTTCCCTTTGGTAATCTCTGAGCGCTGGCAGCAGGAAGTGGCGGAAACAGTTTATGAAGCAGTAAATGCAGACACAGATAAAATTGAGGCCAGGAAGAGAGCTAAAAATAAGCAACTTGGCCACGAAGAAGGTAAAATAACTAATGTGTCTCAAAATGTTTATCACGCAATGAATTTTAAAAATTTTTGTAAAGCTGAAGAAATATTTGGGTCATAAAGTATTTTCAAGTGATGGGGAGGACGTGGAGGGAGCTATAAATTGCTTTACTTTTACCTGACTTGGAAAAGTTCAGTATGATTTTTCAGTCTTTAGTCAATGTATAAATACAAATGTATGGAGATCAACAATAGTACTTTGTTATTATGTCTTTTTATCTTGAGTGTTTGAGGTTAGTTTGGAAGTTTTTCCTTTAGAAAATGGAATATTACAATGTCAGGAACCAGCTTCCTGTGTGACTTGTGCAATCCCATATAGTTTAGTGCTCTGCTGTCAACATTCTTGACTTTTACAACAGTTTTTTAAGAAGGGGCCTGTAGTTTTGTTTTTCACTGGGCCCATTGGTCCTGGTGAGGAACTTAGCATTGTTTGTCACTTGCTAGGAGATAAATATATATATGTGTGTGTGTGTGTATAAATTTATACTGTATTTGCATCGCAAGCAGCACTGAAGAATTGCTAAACCATGTTTTTATTTATAATAATCAAGTGCCCTGTTAGGATTTCAAAAGTAGAATATATAACATTAAGTACTAAATAAATCAGCCCTTTGGGATTCACCAAATATTGTCATTTTTGATTTTCCTAAGATTTTATAAATTTTGTATATTTACATTTATTACAGTTGATGATTATGATAATATATTTCATTGTACCTCGAGCAAAGATCTTTTTTGAAGTCCATGTGCTATATTAAGAATGACCAGAAATGATTTTATTTCCTATCATTGTGTGTGTGTGTGTGTGTGTGTGCTCTGGTGGGAGCATCTTGGTGCAACTGCATTGATCTTACAGTTTCCTAGGCAGTGTTTGTCATTTACTTAGAAAGATATCCTGGGTCCTGGATGAATTTCTCCTAACAGAAAAGTTGATTGAACACACCCAGGAACTCTTGTAGCGTTTTAACTGTGCTCATCTCCCTTCAGCAAGGCTTCTTCCTGAGTTCTTCTGTAGAGAATGGTCCATTGAGATCATCATTCTGGACTGTTTGCTGTAGCAGATTTTACCTAGTTGTTAATGGTCATTTGCTCAAAGGAGGACCCCAGTGTCACTAGAATCTTAACAGATTGGACTAAGAAAAAAATATATATATCTTAAATACCTTGTTGAAGTATATTCTTTTAATTAGGGCTATGATTAGAATGTCTAGAAAATTGATGACTTTGTCTTATGTGTAAGTAATTACATGTAATTACTAGACCTTGGTTGAAGGTCTCAGAAGACACCTTTATAGTATAATAGAGAGGCTTAGATTTCTGAGGTGAAAATGTAAGACTTATACTTTAAATATACTTTAGAAATGCAGAGACTTTTTCCATTAAATGGCAACCCTAGAAACTCACCCTATCACGACTCACCCTCCCGCTTCCCTCCCTCCTCTATTTTTTTCCCCTCCTGCGTGTCCATAGGCACAGCATGGGCTTTGCTCACCTGTTTATTTGACTCTCCACCAGAATGCGAGCTCCCGGGAAAGGAGGAGTTATGGCTTTTTATTCATTGCTGAATCCAGACCTGGGAACATGTCCAGCATCGAGGCATCCACTTAATCATTGCTGAATAAATGGGGGTGGGAGTAAATGAGTGATTAGCATGATCAGAGACCTTAATGAAGCCCAAACAAGCCACTTTAAATTCACCTTTTTTTAAAGAGACAAAACTTCACTTTAAAAAAATGGCATCAGGACTTAACATGGGTATGAATTGCCTTGATTTCTCTAGTTAATCACATATTCAAGGGATGAATATAATTTTATGTTGAGGAACATATAGTTTTGATCTTTGATTACTTAGACAAGAAATCCCCACTGTTCTGTTATTTATAAGATAAAAGGTGACTAAAAGGAGGAGCTCCAGGGCCACATTAGGGAAAGATACTTGGAGCATGGCTTGAATTTAGCTATATCTGTTCTCCAGTTCTCATTATACATCATGAAAAATAAGTTTGAAAACAAACATTTGCCCTCTTCGAACAATAAATGAGCATCATGAGTGTATCAGTATTAAGAAGCAACCATTAATTAGTGGTGAGAGAGCTAAAGGATCTTGTGTTATAGTTAAATAAACTTGATTTTTCTAAAAAAAAAGTGATCTTTTTTTTTTATTCTGAGTATAACATAGATCTCCTGTTCCACAGCCTATTTAATTTTCATTTATTTTATGTTCCTCAGATTATGCTCTGGGAAAGGACTGTATTATGCATGGGTACATGCTGAAACTGGGAAACCCATTCCTGACTCAGTGGCAGCGTCGATATTTTTACCTCTTTCCAAATAGACTTGAATGGAGAGGAGAAGGGGAGTCACGCGTAAGTCTCCAGGGAACTTCCCAGTGCGTTTCCGCGTGCTGCTGCCGCATGCAGGTCCCTTGCTGGCGTGTTCTGTGACGTCGCCACCGAAGCTCTGCCTTATCTGTTTTAACTTGTGTACGGGAGACTTAAATGTTCAGCTTTAAATTTTAAACTTCTGAGTCCAGGAAGGATTTTGAAAGATCTGAAAATCGAACATGCAGACCCTGAGGTTTAAAGCAGACAGGTTTGGAGAAGGCCAGGAAGTGGTTGGGGGGCATCAAAATCATGGCAGATCTGGGGCTTCAGAGTGTGGGATCACCCCCCTGCTCGGCCTCGCCGGGGCTTTGAACACAGCGCTGTTTCTGCATCCATAAGATGGAGAAGCAGAAAGTAGAGCAACTGCTACAACTTTTGCATATTTACCTTTGGCCAGGGACTATAATACAGACACACACTCACTCCCTTACCCAGCTCAACCTTTTGACCAACCTTTGAGGGTCTAATTTGTATTTTATTTAGAGGGAACTTAGGTTCATTCAGCCCATGTCAGTGCAGGCAGACAGTGAGGCGTGGTTCTGACCCCAGCCTGCCTGTGCCACCTTCCCTGGTCTGGGTCACAGAAAATGAAGTAAATCAGGCAGGCCTGAAGCTTGGCACAGAGATGAGGTTACCAAACCACCCTTCCTTTTGTTTCCACCTTGTTGGAAAATTATAAGCAGATTTTATACAATAGACAAGAAGACATAGCTGCTCTTTATCTCTAAGATAAATACGATAAAAATAAATTTCTCATCCACAATGTCCCTAGGACTTGTCTCTATGGAGACTTGTTTTCTGCTCTTGGGGAGGCAGTGCTTAGTCATCTCTAGCAGGACGGCGTCCCACATCTTAAAAACACGGCTTATGTTTTATGGACACCTGCTCTCAATTGTCCAGTGGTCAGAAGTGGGGAAAGTTATAAACCCAAATATGTGTAATTTGACTTTGGAGTGTATGTCTTTTAGATGGTGAATTTGCTGTTAACTAAGATTGATTGCTATTGCATATTGCCATAATCTTTCCAGATAAGATCTGACTATTATGAGTGTCCCAGAAGTCATTTCTAAAAATTAATAAACCAAGGACTTGAGTTATGGTTAATAAGATACTTTGGGCCTCCTAAACTATCACTCAGGTTTTGGTCAGTAGACTACAATAAAGTTTATAGAACATTTCCAGGTATTGAGTGGTGCTGGGAATGTTATGCACTTGTTAAGCTGTCTGTGGGTAAGTCACTGGTGTGCCCACCAGAGTCTCACCCTTCAGGATACTTGAAAACTAAAACACACAAAAATGTTTTCTCTGGTTTAACATCAGATACAATAAATTGCCTTGTTTTTCAAAACGTGCATAGGTGGACTCGTAAATGTATATAAGGAAAAAGAGAAATGAGAGTTTATGATGATATTGTTTTTCATTTAGGATTCCTGGAGTATTTATCCAAAAAAACATAAACTGGTAAGGTACTCGTGACCCTATAGCATTCACCTTAAGCTACAATGCTATAGAGCTGGCGTGACAATCTTTTAAGGATGTCACCTGTATTTATAACATCATTTTGATGATTATCAAAATATTGCTAACTTACACGCTTACACTCAAATATACACCCTTTGCTTGTGTAAATCATATACAGTGCTTCATTGTGCGTGATCAGAAAGCATACCCGAGATTCATAATCATTCAAAAATCAATTCTGTGCTGAGGGAACAGCTTTGCTCTTATGCCGTACAGAGACTTTCCTTTCTTTGCAGTTTTCTTTGAGACCTTATGATTTGAACTTTTGTGTGTGTCCCTTTGTAGCCATGTCCCCATACTTGTAGAACATCATCAAAGAAAGAAAAGTGCTTTTTTTAAAAAAAAAAAAACTGAGTCAGTAGTTTTTGGTGTAATTTATTAATTTAAATAAGAAATCATGAAATGATGTCAAGTGATTTGTAATTTTAAATGTTTACCCTTAGCAAAATTTACTGACAATGGAACAGATTCTGTCAGTGGAAGAAACTCAGATTAAAGACAAAAAATGCATTTTGCTGAGGATAAAAGGAGGGAAGCAATTTGTCTTGCAATGTGAGGTGAGTTGTTTTTTTGTTGTTTTTGTTGGATGTCAGGGTATAAAACATCTTCTTCTCCATGCTTTATCACTTACAATGTTAGCAAGAGCCCTCCAAGATAGAAGGTTCTCCGCAAATTCAGATATTTTTATTTATTTATTTAATTTATTTATGCATACAAGAACTGGGGTACAGGCCAGAGTTGCAGGGGGATGAGAGGATTCATCAGAGACAGAGTTGGGAGCAGAACAGGCAGATCTACGGAAATACACTGCTGAGGGGAGCAGCAGGTGAGACAGGAGAGGTCTGCTGGGCCATGTGGGTAGCTCCCTGGCTGGGGAGCGAATTCATGCTGCAGTGGCTGCGGGTAGCTTGATAGTGCTGAGCCTTAACCCCTGTGCCACCAGGGAGGCCCCACAGATATTTTTAAAGAAGCAAATATTAGGCAACGTCAAGAGAAAGTACGTGAGATACTTTGATTACCCTACCTGAAAACTCTGTCCAGAGTTGATAGGAGTCTGTAATTTTATCTGTTATAGTTTTTCAGATCTAATCTTTCAGAATGTTTGCGGTCGAGGTCTGTATGTTTAAATAAGAGTGGTTTCTCTCAGTGGAAATGCCATCTTTCTCTCCCCTGAGGTCTGTTATAGTTCATGTTCAATTCCTGAACACTCCTTTACTTGTGTGTGTGTGGTGGGGGGAGGCAGTGTGTGTGACAAGAGCAGATATTAGGTAGACCAGTAGTGTGCACAAAAGCATGTATTTAATGACTTCATTACTGCATGTACATGTGAAGGTGCTTTTGTCAGAACTCCCCATATGTTATTCATAGACTTCAGTTGTTTTAGAAATCGGAAATCAAAGGTAGTCAGTCTCCGAACAGATTCCAGGCAGCGATTCTCAAGGTCGGTTGTGTGAGGATCACCTGAAGGCTTCATATGCTTTTCCTTTCTCTGCGGGGACTCCCTGAAAGAAGTTTTTGCATGACCCCCAGTTGATACATCACTGTCAGGCAGAAAAGAGGGGTGTGCCCTCCTGGGGAATGGGGTTCCTAGGACATGGTTAATTAGAGGAATCCACAGGCTGCTGGCAAAATTGGCTGAAGCTATCCCAACTTCTCCCCTTGTGTCTCCATTTAGAGTGATCCTGAGTTTGTACAGTGGAAGAAAGAGTTGACAGAAACATTCACCGAGGCCCAGCGGTTGTTGCGCCGGGCTCCAAAGTTCCTCAACAAACCGCGGCCGGCTGCTGTGGAGCTCTCCAAGCCGCCGCTCTGCCACAGGAATAGCAACGGCCTCTGACAACCGGACAGGGAGGGCCTGGGGAACACTGGGCCTCCGGGAAATCTGCACCAGGTGTTGGCAGCCCTTGCAGTGGGGCCTTTTGGAGACACATGAGGATTAGAAGTTCGACACACTTATCTCTGGGGTCCTTCCGTGCCCAGGAAGACCCAAGATGCTCCTAACAGGAGGGGTGACCACTCTCAGGCGCCACTCTCCCCCTCCCTCTGAGTGCCTCCCACCGCCATCACACCTTTCCGCACTCAAAACTACTGAAGAACTGAAAGTTCTTTGTCTTTGCTACACACTTATTTTGGTATATACGTCCCTAGAACTTGAAATGATTCTTACTTGTCACTTCAATTTTTACATCTATATCAAACATATCTTAGACTTGCCAAGATGTAATTGCACTGTCTTCAGTGTTGGGTGATGGGCGGCCCTAGCATTGCCATATTTTTTATGTATAAACAGCCACCTGCTGGTTGTATGTCTTCGCTCCATATTGCTGTGGGATGGGAGATCGGCCATGTGTTCCTTATGTGCACTTCAGAACCGACTTCTTCTCATCCTGGGGTGGAAAGCTTGAAGCTGTTTTCTGAAAGGTTACCATTGGGTCCTCACGAACGCTGGCCCACCTCACAGGGCGCCTTTAGCCAGTGGGACTCGGGTTCTCAGGGGGCCTGGGTGTCCCTCGTACCGAAGGCGTCAACAGCACATCCTTGCAAAGGCCGACCTCCATCTGAAGAAGAGGCAGTAGGGTTTTCAACTTCAGGGTAATAGTGATTTTCAAAAATCTTCAAGTCCAACTCGCTCAAGTTGACAAACAGCACTTTCAACATGTCTGGGTGTGTGTGAATGCTGGCGTGAGTCTATCTTGGGTTTCGACAGTAAGCAGTTGTGTGACATAGTAATTCTAGTTCCTTCTGCCTGACCTCAGGAAACATATCAGTAATGGATGTGTGACAGGAGGAAAGAATTGCTCTGTTGTACACTTGAGGATCTTCTTAAATGGATTTTATCAAAGAAGGAATGCTGAAGAATGAATGTGTCAAAGCGGGTTAGCTGTGTATGTTGACTTTTACATCGTCATTTACCTGTTTCAGGCAAATGGACTTTGCACTGGATGGCTTGTTCTCTGACAGTGATAATTGGAGAGCATCAAGGCTTTGTGCACAATCCCAGTGGCCCCTCTCCCCACAGTTCCTTTCCCCCAATGCTTTCCAGGCCCTTTCTATGCCCCAAATAAATGCTGGGTCATAAATGTCAGTGTGTTTCCCAGCAAAGCCGTCCATGTCATCAGACTAAAAATAGTAATTTTCAAAGTCTGCATATTTGTCCTATTCTTAGTGCAATTTTATTGTATGTTTGTAAGTTAGTTACTAACAATATAACTGACTTGGCATTATAATTATTGCATCCTGTCCTCGATATTTTTAGTGATTCCAAATCCTTGTGTTAACATGTACATGCTATGTGGAATGGGAAGTTAAGTACTTTTTAATGAAATTATATTTTGAGAGCTTGGAAGATGATTACTGAAAGAGTCTTGTACTTCATAGGAGTTATTTTGGAACAGAAATGTTGATGTTCGCTGCCCATCGCCATTACTGTAATAGTTGGAACTTAAATTGGCATCCATGTTCTACATCTGCTATTTCCAGTAGAGGGGGGAGGGTGTACGCTTTCCATGCATCCCCATATTTAGAAGGGGAAAGCAGTATCCAAACTGCTCTTTCAGAAAACGAAAACCACCAGAAACAAAAAAGCAGTCGTTCTTCGCAGCAAGTGTCTCCCTGCCACGACTGATTCTAGCAGCCTCTGCCTCGGGTGGCCCCGGCACAGGCGGGCCTGTACTCTCCCAGGCTAGAAGCCCCTGCGGCTCGTGGTGAGAAGGTGCACAGCCTCCTGCAGGGTCTGGGCTTTGTGTCTCACATGTCAGACCTGGGGCATTCGCTCCACCAGTTCACATCTCTTTAAAAAATACAATTTTTGCTCTGGAACAGAACATCATGTCAATCTCAAAGAAATATGAATTGAAAAATATCCTAAGAGCCTTTTTGCTTCAAACTTCATCCAACCCATATTCGATTTATAATGATGTGGCTGAGAAACCCATCTAGATGGCCTGCCCATCCAGATGGCCTTTGTTTAGAGTGCCCTGTGAGATTAGGATGAACAGCTTTTGAGGGTCTGTGCTGGGGTCTGGTTTGCAACCTGGACTTGTACAACAGACTTTCTTTTGGGGTCGATGCTTGTGCTGGCAGAGAGAAGGCACTGCTGCCGCCCTCCTGTGCCAGGTCCCGGTGCCCAGTGGTCCATAAGCCAGCTGGTTGAGACATCTTGGTAAACTCGAGTTACATCAGTCCTAGATGTGTGAGTTATATCTGTCTGAGGTTTGGTCATTTCAAAAGGACAACAGCACAAATCTCCTTATTTTAGCTTTATATGGTTAGGGTATTTTAACATTGTCAAGGAAGATAAAGTTATTATTTTTATAAAATTATGTTATAATAAATCTTGATTTCATAATTCAAAAGAATCAATAAAGCAAAACCTAAAAAAAATAGATTACTTTAAGCTGCTGTACAACACATATGGAATAAATTTAAAACTTTTGTGAATCCAGGGTTTTATTTTCACCTGATGTCCCCTCATGTATTTGTCCCCTCATGTCTGTAGAACTGATGGTTTTTCCTTCTGTGTCATGTATAATTTTTAAGCAAAACTCGTAGACATAACTGTTGTTTCATTGCTGGTGCAAAAGTACCAGGCCTCTGGTTGGTCAATTCACTGACCAATAGTGGTCAATACTGACCACTACTCTCAAATTCCGAATATAGAAAGAAGGGTCAAATGTCAAGGTCCTCTGAGGAAAGGAAGTATCCTACTGGAGAGAAAACAATAAACAGCCATCTGTTTCACACAAGATTTAGCTGGATTTGCAGTTTGAAATATGCTAGATGGGTATTAGAAACAATTGTTTTAACGTCCTCAAAATGAGTATCGTTTACCAGTTAACAATGAGATTTAACTAGATTTAAAAGAAAAACCACAGTGTGGTTTTTCCCAATGATGTTTTTTTTTTTTTTTTTTTTTAATTTCAGTCAGTTGGTAGTTGAGCCAATTCAATGAAGCCTTTGACTTTTCTGTTGAATTGATTTTTCTGATGTTTCAAATTTTAACATATCAAGAAGAAATCTCGAAAGTTGGACCTGTCACATGACATGAATCTATAAAATTACTTTGATGTGTGCGGGTAAAAGGCTTGCGTGATTTAACCACGTGGAGTGTTTTCTCAGTTAGCTCTTGGGGAACTGCGTCCTTGTCACTCAGACACAACTGAAGAACGAACTCCCCTCCACCCCGAGGACTGACGTGTTGTTTGTGCTTCACTGTGATCTGTGACAGGTGGTGGCCGGGAGGTGGGTAGGGTGTCCCCTCCCAGAAAAAAAACAGTGGTAGAAATGGTGCAAAAGAATGTGGAACTGCTGAGCCTTTTACAAAGCCATTTGCTTCCCTTCAGGGTTCACTGTAGAAATCAGGTTGCCTCCAGTCCCTTGGGGAAGGCGCACCCGACTGGGAGCTAAGGCAGTGCTGACCCTGCGCTCATGCCTGCCTGGGGTGTCACCTCACTGCCATCAGAGGGGCAGAGGCGGGGCCTGGGTGCAGTCTGTGCAGTGCCTGGCCTCAGCTGTGGACACTGTTACAAACCCATCGCAGCCGCAATAAGCCATCCCAGCAGGACGGGGCTTGCCGCTTGGGCCGTGGCCCATTTGTGCAGGGAGCTATAATAGTTTACATTTTCAAAATTTTTTCCCATAAAGATCTAACATGATTCCCCCTCCCACATAAAGTTGACTCGAGAGGCTTGAATTAGTTACTTAGATTCATGTTAATATAAATTTTTGTCTCCGGGCCACATTTTTTAGAAAAATTCACAGTAGAATTAATGAAAGTTAACTCTAAAATGATACCCATTGGTTTCCTCTAGTCCTAATGGACTTTAGAGTTGCATGGTCCTCAAGGCCTAAGAGAGCTGTCCCTTTGCAGTCCAGCAGCTGGGGTCCCCACTCTGAAGGCCTAGGGGGTGGGGGAAGCACAGTGGACAGCCACTTCGCCCACATGGCTGGGTTAGTATTGACTTGTAAATGCAGCACCCCAAATTTTGAATTGCCTTTATTTAAAACACACAGTACAGAACATGGGCTAACAGTGTATGCATTTCCTCAAAACCCTATAGAAAAGAAACGGCATTTTAGAATTAAATAAATCATATTCTTATAGTGGAGTTAACTCTCCTATACCTAACAATCTCAAAGTCATCTCTGAAAATTGGTAACTACCCCCCGCCCCATTTTTCATTTTGTCCTTATATAAAATGTCTTTCATGTTAAGGGTAGGGAATGGAGAAATATTTCTACTCGTGTTCATAATACAAAGGACTTGAAATTTAATTTCCTGTCTTAGTTGATTGTATTCCATGATGTATATATTATATGTGGTTTATAAGCTAAACACTGGCCAATTTTAAGTTCTACTGTTAAATCGTATTTTTCTATGTTTTAACTAATTATAATAGATTTGGCTTTTTCTGGGTAACAAAGATTGCTAAACTGCATATATATATAAAAAACAAGAGTTCTATTTTAGCACAAAAGCATTTTATATTATTTATTGAATCCTTAAGTTTGTTTTCATCAGAAACATTCCTTACATTTCTGCTCCTTTTGATTTGTATAGTTTGTTATTTAAAGGAATGGCAGTCCTTGCTGCTTTTCATAAGGTAAAATGGAAATAATGCTTGAGGCAGCGCGGGCACACACCCCTTCTCACTGCCAAGGGCGACTTCCACACTAGCTTCTCCTCGGGTCTGTGCTGATTGGCGCGTGCAATGTTTTGGTAACATCTGACAGTGACCTTGCTGTGAAATACTGCTTTCATCTACCTCTTCAGAAGGCCTCCTGCTTGTTGACAGGTACCCTGAAGGCTTTATTTGAAACTGGCTACATTATAAAAGAATTGCAGTAAAACATTTCAGCGTGATTCCCTAGTGAGTGGGTTTGCTTTTACAGCCACGGTTGTTGGAAGGGGCGGGGGCGGGGGCGGTGGGGCCATCCCCTGGGTGGCCCTCCCGTGGGGGCTGGGGTGCATCCGAGGGCATCATTCTTGCTCTTTTGTGCCAAAATCCTGTAGTCAGTCTCTCCACAGTCCCAAGATTTGACCATCACACCTGATTCCTCAACTGCTCCCTGGAAAGGCCCTCCCGAGACTCTTCTTTCTGAATGGGCGGCTCTGTTGAGAAACAGCCCTCCTGGCAGCAGCACAATTGAATGAGACTTTCCCCTCTGGCTATTTCAAAATGGAGTGGGAAGTAGGGTCCCTCAGGCAAATGCCCTCCTAGATGATCATAACCTTACAAGAGGTCTTATTATCAAGCAGACCCTTATGGATGTGACGTGGAGTGAAGGTGGGGCCCTGGGGCTCCCCCCTCACACGCTGAAGTCCCTGCCTGTCTACCTAGCTGCATAGCCATCGATGTAGTAACATACTTACTATATTCGTGGCAAAGTGTAATAGCCCTCAAGAAATAAATCTGTTTTCTCTTGTGCATTGCTATACAAAGTGAAGCCAGTGAATTAGATATTGTCAACCTAGATATTGTACCTAGGAAGCGATCATTTGTTTTATCACTCTTCATATTGATTGTGCCAGTGGAGGTTTCTAGTCCTCTCGGGATACACTTACTAGTGCACGTTTGAAATAGTATCCTCCACGAGAGGCCGTCCCGTGTCCACGGTCACACCCCGGTGCGGTGTGCCGTCCTCGGGTAGTGTCACTGTCTTTTACAGTTATTTTGGAGCAGCTGGACTGGTTTTCTGTATTGGTCAATTGCTTATATAAATCTCAATAAAAAGGTTCTGTACAAAGAGGTCTTGGGTGTGCTGTTTCCTCCCCAATCCCCAATTGAAAACTGCATTTCTTTGTCAAGCCCTTAAGACATCAGGCGGCGTGACTCATTTGAAAGAATCCTGACATTGGCTGAAATTCACGCAGAGGCTGATTTTGCAGGAAAGAGCTGCTGGCAGGCAGGCTTTGCTTATTTTGTGGGTTGTTGGAGCACAGCCAGCTCCACAGTCTCAGGGTTTTGGAGACAGCGCTTGTGCCTCCTGCAGGGCACGTTGGAGGGTGGAGTCTGGAAAGCTGTCCCCAAGGAACCTCCGAAGGCACTTCCAGTCCAGGAGTTGTGTCATGCTCCCCAAATTATCCCCAGAAGTTAGGAGCCCTCGCTTTCCTTCCCTGCTCTCACAGAGATGCACTGAGAGGCCCCACAGGGGTGTTGCTTTAGACTGAAAATCCACGGAGGTGGCGGTCCCAGGGCCATAGCTACATGGGCAGAACCACCAGACACAGGGTAAGGGGCACTTCCGGTCCTTGAGCCAGAAGCACCTGTCTTGCTAGTTCAGAGAAGGTGGTCACTTTTGGGCCTTGTAGCCATCGAGTTTCCCTGGACTGCATCTGCTTGCTTATTTGAAAATCATTTAGCAAAATCGTCGACAGGAGACCCAGCTATGGAACAGGTAGTGAGCTCCGTGGGCAGAAGACAACAGCACAAGGGGCCCTTGGCCTGACGGAGTGTCCTCGCCGTGAGCCACTCCCGGCAGCTGCACAAACCAAGTCACTCATTCGTATCGGGAGTAGGGGGAATAGCACAGGGGCCCAACTCACTACCAGATCGTTTTGGGCACCCTCTTGGGCCCTCCATTATCTCATCCTTAAATGAAAGGAGATGATTTTGAAGACCTCTCTGGCTGCAACATCCCCCAAGTCTCTGACTAAGGACAAATGTATAAATGTGAGGGACTTACACTGAGGCCATGTGGAGGGCCCAAAAGGAGGTGCCCCCTGTATCTCACAGTTCCTTCCACATGGCACTGTGGGTCACAGTGTTCCTCTCCCCTTTCAAGCTGTGACATCCGTGAGGCTGGGGTCCCTTCTGGTCGGGGGCCAAGAACCATGTGGGGAGCTGAAGGTGGGGATGTAGCAAATGTACCTTTCTCCTCCTGGCCACCTTGACCACTCCGGCTGCTGGATGCTGGAAAGGGTTTTCAGTCCAAATTATTCAGCCATGCTGTCTCCAGGAATCAAACCAGATAAAGGCCAAGCCTCGACTTTGTGCTCACATATGAGCATGGGAAGCACACAGAATGAAGAAAGTCCATGCGGGGAGACGTATTTAGCAGCTCATGTCAATGGACCTGTAACAGGTGGGTCGGGAGATGAGAGGCAGGAGCGAGCCTGTGTGCCTGCCTTATAGATCCCGAACAACTGTGGGTCTGATTTTGTTTTTACATTTTAATATTTTATTCTTTTGATCTCTGGGTAAAATGCCCAGCTCTTCACTGTCTAGACCCTTCTGGGTAAAGGCAAAGGGTTGGTTGGCCAGCCAGTAAAACACGACTCTGCCTGGATGCAGTACGTGGTGGAGAAAGCAGTCAGTCTGTCCAGGAGGCTCCCAAGCTTGAGCCCAGGGCAGCCTTGGGCAGGGGACTCCTCCTGCCTGGACCACTTTGTCTCCATGTGGGATGTTGGTACACACCCCCAATCCTTTGTAGGTTTCCTGAGGTTCTGATAAGTTGACAGGTCCAAAGTTTGCAGCATAGTGCGGGGACATAGCATTCACTCAAACTCGCTTAAATTTGTATTAATATTTGGAACTGTTTGTGAGTCCACAACTGTGCAGCATAAACTACAACTCACCTCTGCAGGTAGGGGTGGGGGCACCCCATCAAATCCCAAGTTCACCAGTTTGAAATGTAGAGCTGGGGGCCTACAGGAGAGGAGGGGGGCAGGTGCTCTCCTTCCTAACACCTTTGAAAAGGGCCCCTCCCTCCAACAGGGAGCAGGTCCTGAATAAAGAGAGCCTGCTTTGAGCTCACATAACTGAAATGGGCTTAAAAGCACAGATTGACACTGATAACTCAAAGCTCGTGGCCCAGCGTGTGCACCGTGGGTGGAAAGTTAGCTTTGCTCTGGGGTTTCTGACGCAGAAGGGATTTTTGATCACAATGTTTAGGGAGGAGCAGACTCAGCGTCATCCCACCTAGCAGAGGTGCGTGGGTCTCACTGCTGGGTGTCTCAGCCAGTCTAGCCCCTGAAATTCCCTTTGCTATTTCTTTGGGGTTCTCCTTGCATAGATGCATATTGTCAAGTGAAGTCACTACTGGTAGGACTCAAAAGATGGGAGGAATCACAGAACAACTACTTAGTGTTTGGCCTTTCCTGGCTTGGTTTACTTAATTATTTTCTTGTATTTTTTTACTTCTTGCTGACTTTTTAGAGTTGTTCCAGGCACTCCTCTTGAAAGTGGTCTTGAGGTCCATCATCAAATTTCAAAATTGGAGGTTTAAGCCTCTTGACCAAATATCAACACAGCAGGGAGAGCCAAAAATGGATGCAAGTTATAGTAACCACAAGAAGCAAGGATTCATTTTCACATATATCTTTGTTCCAGCTGCTTGATAACTCTTGAAAAATGTCAACGGGGTAAAAATATAGCTACATTTTAGACTTTAAAATGACATGTTGAAAACTCTAGGGCAATTGGTAAAAGAATAGAAATCGTGACTAACTTCCAAACTAGCACAGATTTAAAAAAAAAAAAACAAACCAAAAACTAGAAGGGAAAAGTCTTGATCCAAAAGAAAGCAAGGTTATTATATTTCACTTTTATTCATTTAAAGAGACACCCAGTTCAGACAAGTCGTGAAGCTGTGAGAAGATATTTGCAGTACATATGTATAGCATTGGGAGAATTCCCCTGGATCAATAAGAAGTCAGATGACTCAATGGAATAACGGGCAGATAAAGGAATGTAAATGGTCCAGAAACACAAAAAGAGGCACAACGTTACTACTGGCCAGAGACTGCGGTTGCTAATTTCTGTTTCAGAAAGATGATTTGAAATGAAAAACTGATCATTTTCAAGTGTTGCTGAAAAATGGGGAGTAACTGGTCCTTGCTGGCAGCTGTGCACCTGCCCACACCCTTTTGAAAACGGTTTGATATTCTCTAGATGACTTGAGCATGTGCATACCCTTCTGCCTGTGGGTTTCACTCCCGGGCATGTTTGCTGTCAGAGACACATGCACAAGCATGCCAAGAGGGCGCCCCTGAATGCGCCTTAAAGCACCATTTGTAACCCCAGGTAAGAATTGTGAACAATGGTCTAGCAACAAGTGAGTGGGTAAATGCAGCACATACCTATCGCCAAACACCACACAGCATGCAAATGAACAAACCACAGGTACCTGCATTTGTGTTCCAAGCTTAAAACAGCATTGGTTGATTTATAGTTGCTTGTTGATTTTGATTTTTTGTTTATTATAGTTATTCTTATTCCTGGTCCCTTATTTAGGTTTTCTAGATTCCTTGGGGGGCGGGGGGAAGGGATGTGGGGAGAGGAGGGATTGGTGTCAAAATAAGGGGGGTGCAATTGTGTGGGGAATATAACCAAGATGAAAATGCATACATTGTGCAATAATGAAAAATGCTGTAAGAAATAAATAAAATTTTAAAAAAATTATGAAATATAAGTCTGACACTCCTGGTAGACTAGCAGTTCAAACTCTTAGTTTCATAGATGTTAAGAGAATTTTTTTTTATCTTTGGTAATGTAATAAATTATTTCTAAAACTTTTCATCTGCTTAAAAAAACAACATTGGTTGAAAGAAGAGCAAATTAGGATACTGTATTTAGTGTGACATCGTTTATGTAAAGTTCAAGATAGGTGAACCAAGTAATATCACTGGGTGACCCCTTTAAAGATGATAACCTGAAAGAAAGGAGAATGAATAGAAAACTCAGAACAGTGACCAGTGACTAATTAAAGAAAATTCAGAATCGGGATTCATTCAGTCTGGGGAGAGGGAAGGAATTTTGAAGGCATTTGTATTATATTGTCTTTCTCATATTCATTATTCTGCTTGTGTATTCCTGTACGTGTGTGTGATACATCTGACACTTTTTTTTTCCTGTACAAGAAGTGAAATGTACTATCTTGTGGACATTTTAAAAAAGATTTTATTTTTTATTTATCTATGCATACAAGAACTTGGGGTGTAGGCCAGAGGTGTGGGGGTGGGAGAGGTAAGAGGATTCCCTGGAGACAGTGGGGAGCAGAACAGGTGGATTGACTGAAATACACTGCTGAGGGGAGCAGAGAGGTCTGCTGTACCATGTGGGCCAGCTCCCTAGCCAGGATCAAACTCATGTCCAGTGGCTGGCAACAGCTTGGTAGTGCTGAGACTTAATCCTTGTGCCACCAGGGAGGCTCTCTTGTGGACATTTTCAAGTCATCATCTTGGTCCTAGTAGAAGAAAACTGATGTGAAAGGATGTTCCCAAACTAGTCAGTGGAATAGGGGACAAGACCATATGTATTTCATTTTGAAAAATACGTATAAGCATTGAAAAAATTCTAGAAGGCAAAGTAGTAGGTAACATTGGTGGCTTGGAGTTAAGAAGATTGAGTGGTCTGGGTGACCATGAGTGATTTATTTCCTCTTACTCATTCTCCATGGACTTGCATTACCTGTATAATCTATTTCTGCCTTTTGCCCCAGGAGGCTTGTCCATATGGCCCATGTGGACTACATCAGCAGCTTCTCTTAGTGTCTGACTTTTGGCTAGGCTCTGTAAAGGGGAGGCACTGCAGGAGACCAGAGGGCATGAGGAGAACAAAGTTGGGGTGCTCTTCCACAGGCTCCCTCCATCCAGGCAACTATGGGTCAGCTGCTCCCATAGTTCCTGTCGGGAAGCCCTCCTGGACACACACCCCCCTCCCCCTCTCCTGCAGGCAGAGAGCTGGAGATCGGTCTCTACTGCTACTGTTCGCTGAGGTCTGCCCTCACCTTGTTGGTTTCCCTAAATGTTGCCCATGACTGCGACAGCCTCTTTATTAAACTCTCCTTGTACTAACCAGTTTGAGAATGTCTTTTCCGCTGTGACTCCCAACTAATACACACCTCCCTCCTCCCCGATCCTTCCCTGTTGAGCCTGGTGTGGAGTTTATGATAGTCCTAGAGAGACAAGGCAACTTTAACAGAGGGAAAGCCTGAAGCACAGTGAGGGGAGCCATTTCCTGAAGTCAGGAGCGAGTGGGCCAGACTCCCAAGGCTGTAGCACACCCAAAGTTCTGTGTAGACACAGCACCTCTGCACCCTCATCAGAGGGTGGGCCTGGGGGTGCCTGGCGTTCCTCTACAGGGCCTCTCCTACCCCCACGCTCCCGACACTCATCTTTCATTCAGTCATTACTTTGTTCACCAGCATCCGTGAGCACACACCCAGCGCCTGGCCCTGTACTGGGTGACAGGCATTAATAGGAGAACCACAGACTGGTGGAAGACAGACAGACAGACATCTAAAGAGAGCAAGATGCAGGCCCTGATCCCGGACCATCTGCTCCAGCCCAGTTTCCCTGCATGCTCTTCCCTGCTTGTTTGGGGCACGGTGGTTTAACCTTTCTGTGCCTCGGTTTCCCCCTGCTGTGAAGTGGGTTGCTGCGAAAACCCTACCTCATAGCATTGTTGGAAATAGTAAATGAGCCCACTAATGCCCTCAGGTTGGAGTCGGCGTGTGAGGAGAGCTGCAAGCTCATGAGGCGTCTCCGCGGGCTGCACTGTGAGGCGCCAGCGTCAGCTGCAGTTCTTCACAGAGTGTGGCTGGAGGCAGAGCTGGCCTCTCTTCCTCGCCCCATCCCTGTGACCTCTGGTTATCTGTGTGGGCAGAGGTGGAGTGTGGGTGTGCGGCCTGCCGGGGACAGGGATGACGGGGGAGAATGTGCTTGCGTCGGAGCTGTCCCCTCCCCTGCTCCGTGCCACCAAATATGTCCATGCTCTCGGAGGCCTGGTCAACGGCCGGCCCGGGCTGCCGTCTCCTGGCCAGACCTGGAGCTCACCGGCTAATTTTAGAAATGAGTTGTCGACTCAGCTGCTGCTATCACGCTGGCGCAGAGAGAGGGTGGGGGGAGGACAGGAGGCACAGTCAGGGAAGGGGATGTGTGTGAGAGCGTGGCGAGGGTGCTCCTGACATTTCTCTGCGGCCCCTGCTCTCCCGGCTTGGTGGGGTCTCTGCCCTGAGGCCTGGGGAGGCCTCTTTGGCGGGAGTGGTTCTTCTGACCTGTGGCCTCGCGTGGACAAGGTACTGTCGGGCTGGGTTTGATGACGGGCACCTTGTGAGCCGACGGGCAAGTTTTAATTTTCTGGAATGTGCTTTGGGGGCTGCGGGGGCAGGCCTCTGGTTTCGGGTCTATTTTAGGCCTTTCTGGGGTGGAGAGCCTATGGGCCCTTATCCCTTCACTGCTTGCTCCTGTCACTCGCTTGGAAAACCAGAGTGTTTCATGGCAGGATTTTAGACCAAAACCTTGCTAACCATTTAAAAAATTTGCTTTGAGTGAGTGATAAGCTCCCCTCCACTGTGGAATCTTAGCCGACAGACATCAGGATTTATGTTTTCCCCCAGCTGCCCGTGCTCTGCTGGACTGGTTCTCAGCTTGTGATCAAGGAGCCAAATTCTTTTCCTTTCATGTTTTTAGCACTGTTGCTTATAAACTTTAATAATTATTATAAATTATTATTATTCCAAAGTAAGCACTCTGTGTGGTGGGGCTGGGGCCAGCAGTTCAGGGACCAAGTGTTGAATTTCAAGCAGCGCTGGCTTGACCTTCCACCCGAGAGAAGAGGTGCTGGAGCTGGGACTCTGCTCCCGGGCATTTCTCTGAATGGAGCAGCTCCACAGGCCGTGGTGTCAAGGAGGGGCTCTGCTTGAATGTGGGATTCCCTCCCTGGAGACCTCACCAGGGCAGGCCTCGGGGGCCCTGCCTCCATGCAGCTTTCCCGGAGAAGTGGCTGCCCATAAAAGTGGCTGCCCTAGAAGGGCCAAGCTGCCCAGTTTCTGGCCTTGACCCCACAGGAGCCTGGCTGCTGCCCCAAAGGACCCGAGAAGCAAGGCTGCTATCTTTGTTTTGTGGCAGCCAAGAAGGTGTCTGCCCGCTCCAGTGCACCAGCATTTGGGGGCCAAGAGTGCCACGGAGCTTAGAGTACTCCACAGGGTGGTAGCTCCCGCCGTTATTGTTTTTGCTACTGACAGTTCTCTTGTATCAGGGTAATATGCCCAGGTTGGGCAGGGTCCAGGCCTGTGTGGTTTAAGCTATGGATGAATTCTAGAAAATAATGTTGCAGAGAGAGAGTAAGAGGAGAGTGTGGAAGGAGAAGGAGCAGGTGGAGGAGGGGTGGTAAATGAGGAGGAGGTGGAGCAGGAGGGGGAAAGTGAGGAAGAGGAGGATAAGGTAGAGGAGCAGCAGGAGGAGGAACAGGAGCAGCAGGAGGAGGAAAAGGAGGAGCAGGAGGAGGAAGAGGAGGAACTGTCTCCTCGCCTCCTGACTTTTGAGGGACTGCACATCACCAATAAATAATAGATAATTGGTCCAACCTGCACTCAGGCCTGGTCACCTTGAGTAGCCAGTCCTGCCGCCTCTGTGACCTTGGACCTGCCCCTTTCCAATCTGAGCTCTAACTTCCCCTTCCAAAACCTGAGAGGAGTTGTCTGGAAGTGTCTCCCAGGGATCAACATCCAGGGAAGCTTCTCCAAGAGTGGGATTTCCACTGTTTACAGCAGCAATTCCTCACCAGGGGGCTTCAAATATAGGGTCCTAGGCCGAGTCAGCCCAGAGCCCCCTGCCTGAAAACCTCGCAGGTGTGTCTGGTGGCCAACAGAGTGGGAGAGACACCTTCTCTGGTGTGAGCTGGCAAACCAGCCAGGCGCCCAGCATTGCCTTACTGAAACCCGTGTATTTTCTCACAAGCATAGAGAATGTGCACAGCAATTACTCAGGGCCTGATGATCCCAAAGTTCCACGAGGCTGGTGTTCACGCAGGCAAAGATCAAGTCCTTCTGGTGGCATTCTAGATAAGAATAGAAGGCCTAGAAGGCATAGGCCTAGAACCTATGGTATCCCCTAGAGCAGAGGACCTGGCTGTGTCTACGAGGCCAGGATGGGACAGCCTTTCAGTGGGTCCTATTTTCCTCCAAGTGGATGAAAGCAATTGTCTAAATGATTCATTGTAACAGGTTGTTGGTTGCTGTGGTATGACATATCCTTAATTTTTAAAAATTAATTAGCTTTGTTTTAGGTTCACAGCCAAACTGAGGGGAGGAACAGAGATTTCCCATAGACCTCCTGTCCCACACATACAGGGCGGCTGCATCATCGACCTCCCCTCCAGAGTGGTGAATTTGTTGTAGCTGGCACCACCTTATTATCATCCAAAGGGCAAGGTTGACATTATGGTTCATTCTCGTACTTTCTACGAGTTTGGACAAATGTATACAGACACTTAGTCCATATCTATAGTCTTACACAGAATAGTTGCCCTGTCCTAAAAATTCCCTGGGCTCTGCTATTCATTCCGCCCTCCCTCTCTCCCTCCTAGCCCTTAGCAATCACCGATCTTTCTCCTGTTTTTACCATTTTGCCTTTTCCAGAATGTCAGTTGGAATCACATTATGCAGTCTCTTCAGATGGGCTCCTTTACCTTGGTGATGTGCATTTAATGTTCCCCTCTCTCTCCTCATGGCTCCCTTAATTTTTAAACAATGTGATATTGAATTATTTGAAAATGGAGGTGGATTTGACACAAGTGGAGGGCCCTGGGGTATTGCCAAATCCAACGCCATCTGTTCACAGAAATGGGTAAGGGAGGCACAAAAAGGGGAGTTTAGGGCTGGCATTCAGTAAGCAGTGGGGAGCCCATTAGAGGAATAATAACTCAATTTTCCCTTTATCCCCACTCCCAAGACTGCCCCATCCTCCTCCAAATGTCAAAGGAAATGATGAGATTTCAGCTCTCGTTGGAGTGGAGGCAACAAAAGTGAACTTTTTTTAACACACAAGTTTCTTGGAATGAGCACTGACAAGGGTTTTGTAACCATCAAGCAAATGTCTCTCATTCTCCTCTCTCTGTCTCTGTCTGTCTCTTTCTGTCTGTCTGTCTGTCACACACACACACACACACACACACACACACACACACACACACACAGAGGCACATTTAGTCTGAGGGATGCAGAGACATCATCATCAATTTCATCTGAATCATCTTGCCCCAGGCCTGACTCAGCCAGCTCCATAATTTCCCTCTTCTGTTTTACTTCTCCCTGTGCTTCTTTAACTGCTCTCAAGAACTACAGATTCTGGCAATAAAGGAAAGACCCTGGAGAACTGGCAATGTGGGTTTACCAAATATGGGGCCAGGGAAATGGGAATTTCAAGGTCCAGAATCCCCAGGGCATTCATCTCAGCCCCTAAAAGACAAAGCGCATTTTCAGCTGTTTCTTGGGTACCAGCTGGGGTGTGAATTTCAGTTTTAGGAGGGCAAGTGGATTAGCTATTGAGTGAGAGGGAGATGCAGGGACAGAAAACAAAGTCTTTCTGTTGATAATCAAGGGGGGTGACACTGTTCTGGTTTCATCAATTTCCAGGGGAAGTTGAGATCAGACAGGATTTGCCCAGGGCCATGGAGCTACTACGTGGTGATGGGTCTAGGAATTTCTCTCTTCTTGCTCTTCTGTCAACAGTGGTTTGCTCATTTCTTAGTTCTTTCTATGCATGTCTATTTATTGTTTGAAGCAAGATGGTTTTGCTCTCTTTCCCCCTTAATGGTCCTCCTCACTTGGCATGATTCTTCTAGACCGGAGTTTCTCAGCCTCAGTCCTAGTGGCATTTGGGGCAGCATTTGGGCCAGTTTCCTTCCTCCATAGGATGTTTAGTAGCAAACTTGGCCCCAACCCTCTAGATGTCAGTAACATCCCCTCTCTACTTACGGCAACACAAATGACCTCCACTCCAGGTATTACCAAATGTCCACTATTGAAGGAGGGAAGAGGGAGGGAGCAGGTGAGACAGTGAGATGGAGAATAATAGAGAGAAGGACAGCAGGGGGTGAAGACAGACTGGAGTGCTCCATCCACCATCAGAGTGTTTCAGAGTCCCAGCCCTACTCACTAGGAATTTCCCGGATCATCGATGAGTGCTGGTGGGCACCATCACTGCCTATTGAAAACCACCAATCCAGTCCAACTGGATCAAATACTTTCTATAATGACAGAAATGTTCTGTGTCTGTGCTGTCCAATATGGTAGCCACTAGCCCTACAGGTGCCTAGAGGGCACTTGAAATGTGGCTAATACAACTGAGAAGCTGAAGTTTTCCTCTAATTTAATTTTAATTGTGGCTGCTGTATTAGCACAGCTGTAGGCAACAACACAGTGAGGGTAGGAAGATGACCCTTTGATGGAGCACACAAACTCTAAAGACAGTCAGGGGAGCTGCCCAGCAGATGTCTGGCCAGTCTCGTGCTTCATCATAGAAAGGGAAACACTAGACTGGAAATGGCAAATATTTGCTATGGGTGTCACTTTCAACTATTCTTGTGCCCATAGCAGACATTGCCAATCAATTATAGCACAATTGTTTGCTAATCCAGGCATAGCTCAGGATCCTTCTCAATAGAACAGTCCAGGCAGCTTTCATCTACAGATCAGTCAGTGCTGGAATTTGAGAGAAACATTATTGACAATCCCTGAATGATTCCACAAGCCCATGTGTAAGGTCCAGCACCTCATCTGATTATAAGGTGAATGATTATAAGGTGAATTACTGAGAAGCTGGCACAGGCACAGTGAGGGCCATGCTGGGAGGCTGGTGTTCCAAAGAGACCATGCGCAGACTGCCTGGGTCCAACAGGCAGCTCCACATTTCCACCCCCTTTACCTGAGCCCTCTGAGATGGCGTCCTCACAGAATCTACCTTGTAAGGGGGGGTCTGGGAAGAGCAAATGCCATGATCCACGTGAGTACCCAGCTCAAAGCAATGCATTTATCTTCGTGGTTTAGGTCAGCAGGGCAGCTGCAGATATGGAGAGGGCAAAACAGTGTGCTGGAGGAGTCAAGACTTTCCTCTCTAATCATTTCTCCAAGAAATATTCACGGCACAGTCTAGAGAGATAGTAGCTGGGGGTGGCAGGGGTAGGGTGTTTGGGGAGGTAGGGTGAGTTGGGGAAGTGCTGGCTTGTCAACCACTGATGTTTAAAGCATTTGAAGATTGCCCTGGGACTTGACCTGTTTGAAATAGGGAACACAGT